CCTGCCTGTGTGTCAGTGGAGGGACCTCTCCACGCCACGCTCCCTGTAAAGACCTGAATAGTGGTCAGAATCAACCAGACATGGGGGCAGACCTCCAGTGGAGCAGTTACGACTTTCGTGCCCCATATCAGAGTACCGGGGTTCAATTCCCAACTCCGGCTCCTGATTCCAGCTTCCTGCTAACGCAGACCCTGGGAGGCAGCAATGATGACTCAAGTAACTGGGATCCTGCCTCCCACGTGGGAGACCCAGACTGAGCTCTGGTTCGGGCCCCTGGGAATTGGAGGAGCAAGCCGATGAGCGGATCTGATTGTCTCTCAAATAAATAAAAAATATTGAGAACCTTCTTCAAGTTTTTTAATTTTTAAAACTGCTTTGCTGTTCTTTATAGTTTCCACTCTAATTTTATGTTTTCTTTCATCTGGTCATTTTAGATTTAAGGTATTCTTCTGTTTCTGGTCCCTTTAAGGCATAAAGTGAGGTTGTTTATTCAAGAATTTTCTTTGGGGCTGGCATTGTGGCATAGCTGGTAAAGCTGCTTCCTGGGATGCCGGCATCCCATGTGGGCACCAGTTCATGTGTTGGCTGCTCCACTTCTGATCCAGCTCCTTGCTAATGACCTGGGAAAAGCAGCGGAAAAGGGTCCAAGTGCTTGAACCGCTGCACCTATGTGGGAGACTCGGAAGAAGCTCCTGGCTCTTGGCTGGGACACAGGCACAGCACGGAGCAGCATCTCACCAGCCTGCCTGTGCTTGTTCGTGATTTCAAAGTGTTTCACAGTAGATATCTCAGAGCGGGGTCTTTTTTTTCCCCCTCAGAATCCTTTTATTTAAGGAATACAAACTTCATGCATTTCATAAATACAACTTTAGGAAAATAATGGTTCTTCCCACCCATACTCCCACCTTGCCACCTCCCCCTCCTTTTCCCATTCTTATTTTTTGCTAAGATGTATTTTCAATTAACTTTATACACATATAAATAACGCTATATTAAGCAAAGGGTTCACCAAACAGTATGAAAAACAAAACTGATCCTCCAAAGTCGAGACAAGATGAAGTCTTGCATCTCAAAGTGTCAGTTTCACTTCTATAGATTGCCTTTTGGGTGTCCTGTTGGTTATCACAGGTCAGGGAGAACACATGGTATTTGTGCTTTTGGGACTGGCTTATTTCACTATAATGTTTTCCAGTTTCATCCATTTTGTCACAAGTGACATGGATCTCTTTTTAAATCTATTCAGCTACTCCATGTTTTTTAAATATTCTGTTTACAATAAATAGAGAAGGACTTGTGCTCATTGTCTTCTGTGTTGTAATTCTCTCATCACTGTCTTGTCTGTGTTTGTGTTCTGATTATTTTAATTGCATTTTTTTATTGACCGTATTTTTGTGGCCTGATGGGACTCGGATCAAAGATTTGATAGTTGTAACAGTTGTTTGGTCTGGTAACTTCGGTCATGTGCCAATAGACGCGACAAAATCGAAGTCAGGTTTGGTTTCTCTCTGTACTGTGTTTCCACCCGCAGATTTCTGTGGCTGTAACTCTTGTAACTGCCTTTGCCGCCTCATCTACGACCAGTGATCCACGTGCCGTGACTCCAGCATTACCGTATCCTGCCTGCCCTTAGGGTCGGCGTTAGCAGTGAGAGTGACGCTGCACGTGCGTTCAGTTTGCGTCTTGCATCGCTTCACTTCAGCGTGAACTCACGGAGCCTTTCTTGCGGGGCAGGTCCAGCGGAGGTCGACTCCTCACTCACCGCTGTCTGGGAAAGTCCTGGCATGTTATTCACTCTCTAAGGACAGTTTTGCTGGGTACAATTGTTTGGTTAGCAAGATCTCCTCCTTCATTTCTTTGAATATATCACCCCACTCAAAATAAATAAATAAATAAAATAAAACCACCCCACTCTATCCTCACCTGCAAGAAAATTTCTGCTGAAAAATCCACTTATAAAGTGTGAAGATGGCCCCCTTCTGTGTGACCAGTCACTCACCTCTTTTTGCTTTCAAAATTCCTTGTTAAGGCTGCAGCTCACTAGGCTAATCCTCTGCCTGCGGCGCCGGCACCCCGGGTTCTAGTCCCGGTCGGGGCGCCGGATTCTGTCCTGGTTGCTCCTCTTCCAATCCAGCTCTGTGCTGTGGCCAGGGAGTGCAGTGGAGGATGGCCCAAGTGCTTGGGCCCTGCACCTGCATGGGAGACCAGGAGAAGCACCTGGCTCCTGCCATCGGATCAGCGCAGCGTGCTGGCTGTGGTGGCCATATGAGGGGTGACAGAGGAAGACCTTTCTCTCTGCCTCTCTCTCTCTCTCTCACTGTCTAACTCTGCCTGTCAAAAAAAAAAATTCCTTGTGAACTAGGGCAAGTTTAGTAACACTGGGTCTCAGTGTAAACCTTTCGAGGATTCAGCCTGTTGGGAACCATGGGGTTTCACAAACCTGGATGTCCATTTTCTCCCTAGATTTGGGGATTTTTTTTCTGCATGATTTCCTGAAATACACTTCCCCCTGTGTCTCTTCTCTGCAACTGAAACTCCTATAATGTGTGCATTGAGCTGCTTGATGGTGCTGTTAAATCCCACAGGCCTTCTGTACTTTTACGAATCTTTCCTCATGTTCATCCAGCCGTGCAAGTTCCAATAATTAGTCTGGGTCCAGTGCTGAACCAGCTCCGGTACTGAAACCCTCGATTGAGTTTTCATTGAGGTCGTTGCCTTCTCCACCCCCAGGATTTGCGTTCGGTTCTTTTCTGTGGTTTCTATTTCTTTAATGAATTCATTGCTTTCCCGATTTCACATATTTACCTGTTTTCTATCCCAAAACTTCTTTAAGATAATTGCTTTGCATTAGTTGCCAAGTAGTTAATGGATTTCTGTCTGTGTAGCTGTGGTTCCTGGAGGGTTCTTACTTTTCCTTGGTCTTTGTGACCATGCAGCCTTACCGCGATGGGTACCTGCACGTTTGAAGGGCGGGCGCCTCTTCCAGTATTAACAAGCTGCTGATGGCAGGTGAAGGCCTTGCCCTGCTGGGTCCTCGTGAGGTGGGACGGCCCCTGGGGCTGACGTCAAGGACCACGGGTATGGGCTGTGGGCTTCTGTGGCGCATAACCGGCTTGTACACGTGTGTTAACATGTAAGAGCACTTCCTCTCTGACCCACGCATGTCATTTCTAGACATCTCCCTGAGGGATAAGTTCCCAGCTTTGGCACCACTGACCTTTTGAGCTGTTTAATTCTCTGTGCACTGTAGCAAGTTTTGTTAGCAGCACCTCTGAACTCTGCCTGTTAGAGAGCAGTCACTTCCCTCCAGCCCCACCTGCTTGCAAGCCTTGCAGGTCAGGAATTTCTCCCCGCAAGCCCAGCGGCCTGGGGAAGAGAGACAGCAAAGCCACCCTGGCTGGGAAGTACTTCACTACGGAAGTCGTGCCACGGGAGCTGAGGATGCCTGTGGCCGAGAGTCCACGGTCCAGCCCCAGGGGCTGTCCCACCTGACGAGGACCCAGCAGGGCAAGGCCTTTACCCATCCACTCCACAGACAGGGCTGGATCGGGAGTCCACCCCTCGGAACTTGGGCCTCCCTACCCCACCCCCCCCACAAGAAGTCGGAAGCACAGACCAAGCCATGAGCCATTTTGGCTTCATGCACTGTGTTTTTTCTCCTCTCCACCAATCATTTTTTTTTTTGACAGGCAGAGTGGACAGTGAGAGAGAGAGAGACAGAGAGAAAGGTCTTCCTTTGCCGTTGGTTCACCCTCCAATGGCCGCCGCAGCCGGCGCGCTGCGTCCGGCGCACCGCGCTGATCCGATGGCAGGAGCCAGGTACTTATCCTGGTCTCCCATGGGGTGCAGGGCCCAAGCACCTGGGCCATCCTCCACTGCACTCCCTGGCCACAGCAGAGAGCTGGCCTGGAAGAGGGGCAACCGAGACAGAATCCGGCGCCCCGACCGGGACTAGAACCCGGTGTGCCGGCGCCACTAGGTGGAGGATTAGCCTAGTGAGCCACAGCACCGGCCCTCCACCAATCATTTTTAACAATTTAAGTAAAGCTTTGGCATTCATTGATATTTTCATCTACCGTTTACTGAGGTGCAGTCTACGCACCACACGTCAGCCCTCTAAAATTCCATGGTTTACAGAATATTCAGAGAATCGCGCCGCCATCACCACAATTTTAGAACAAGAAACCCCATGCTCCTTAACACTCTTCATTTGCTTCCAACCCTCAACCCAGCCTCAGCGGACCCCAATCTGCCGTCTGCCTCTGTAGACCCAACCGCTTTGACGTTGGTATAAACGGAGTCGCGTCCTCGGGGTCCCTGTCTCCCTCTTCCTTCCCTTCCAGGATGGTTTCAAGGTTCACCCATGTTTAGTGACAGTCAGAGCCACAGGGCTGCACACGCACGGCTACGTCACTGCTCACTCACCCCCCGGTCCATGGATGGGCTGCGTGTGTCTGCCTGGGGCTGCTGGGAGTCAGGCTTCCATGAGCGTTCACGCACGGGTCTGCGTGTGGAGCCGGTTCTCAGGACCCGCAGAGCCCACCTGGTGGAACTGCGGGCCTCTTTGGAAACGGTGTGTGACCTTCGGAGGAACTGAGAGTGTTTGCCATAAGGACGTGCGCTGTGTTCCTTCAACCACGACACTGCTCCTGGCACTACAAAGACGAACGTCACCCTGGCTGTGCCCCGGCTGCTCCGGGACTGGGGGCACGTCGCTCCCTCTCTCTGGGCTTCCCTTCCTCACCTGTGCCAGGACCGTGGCCTGACTCGGCACCCCGATGTGTCAGAGATGCGAGGGGCCGGGGTCAGCCCAAATGGAGGGGCTCGTGGTGGCCTGCGGTCAACTGGTGGCTTCCTCTGGGGGAGAAGCTGGCGGTGACTGGCGCCGGGCGGCAGAGCACCCGGAAGCTGGCTGAGCAGACAGGCCTGCACCACTCAGAACTCGGCTCCCTCAGCTCCTCCAGTCCTGGCTCCGGGCGGGCGGGTGCGGGGAGATCAGGTTTCAGCAGACTCCATATATCCCCAGGTCACCCTGGCTCGGCTCACCCCCCGCCTGCAGCCGGGCCCTGCTCAGCATGAGGGCGCCCCCCGCCGTCACGTGGGTGCTGATCTTCAGTGCAGGTAACCCTGGCCCTGAGCCCTTCCTCCTGGGTTCTCTCTGCTCCCTGTTGAACTGTGGGGGGCCCTGGTCGTTCTGCTGTCGACAGAGAAGCCCTGCGCAGACAGGCTGCAGGATGCCCGACTCCAACCAGGGGTACTCTCACCCACGAGGTGCCGCGTCTCCCGCAGTGCTGGGGAGGCAGGACAGGGCTGCCCACGTCCTGGCACTGGTGCCTTCTTGGATTGTCAACATTTTCTGGGATCCTCGTCCCCTGCTTTGTCCTACGTTTTGTGAGCGTCCTTCCTGCCTAAGCAAATTTACCCCGAGACTGCGCTGGGCGCAGACTTGGCTCACCTGGAAGTGATCGAGGTGTCAGACCAGGGATGCTTCGGGGGAGTTCCCAGTGGTGTGGCTGCAGGCAGGTGCCCAGGTGGACATCCCAGGGGGTCCCGGGCTCCACGGTGGGCCCACAATGCAGGGGGCAGGGAGAGGTCTCGGCATCTGGCCCAGGGCTTTGTCACCTGGGGCCGCAGCAAGCAGAAGGTCCCCAGGGAAGGAGCCCCTTGTCCCTCGGAGGGCTGGGCAGCAGGTGGGCAGAAGGGGTGGCCGACAGCGACTCGGGAGCACCGGCAGAATTGGTGCGCGGTGGCTGCCGGGAGAGCGCTTGCTGCTTTCTCCCTCCTTCCTCTTCTCCACCTCCCGTCTGTCCCCCACTTCTGTCCTGCTGCTCCTCTGCCCTCCCCCCCCAGCCCCCCACACCGTCCTCAGCTCGCTCGCTCTGCGTTCACAGCTCACCCGGGGCCCGGCCTGTGCCTCACCGCTGCTCCTGTACCTCCCCCTCCGTCAGGGCTATCACCTTTGGGTGCCCCCCAGGCCTCCTCAGGCCGCGGCCCCTCTGCTAAGGACTCTCAGTGCAGCTGCAGGGCAGCTCTCAGCCTTGTTCTCACCGGTGCTCCTGGGGGTGCTCCTGGGGGCCGTAGGGTCTCAGTCATGGGAGCCCCCAGAGCCTGACCTCAGGGTGCGTGTGCTGCTTTTGATCCTGGGGAAGTCGGGAGACAAAAAGGTAACTTGCTGAAAAGGAGGTGGGGGCTCAGAAGACCAGAGGAGCTGTGTGAGCCCTTCCAGGTCACTCAACCTCTCTGATCTCAGAGATAGAATAATGAGACCCTGCAGGGCTGCTGCAGCTGATGACCCACAAACCCCCTGAGGGAAGCTGCAGGGAGTTAATGATTAAGGCCCCCTGCGGTGCTCCCTAAGGTGACTGCTCACCCCCCCCCCACACACACACACCTGGAGGGCGCCATTAGTGACTGCCAAGGGGCAGTTTGTTCTTCACGGCCTGGGTCTGGGAACCTTCATCAGACCTCAGGGAGACTGGGCCCAGCCCAGAGCCCAGGTGTGGAGGATTTTGCACCCGACCTGATTTTTGCAAACCATGATTTCTGTCCTCTAGGGCAGGGCTGAGAGACCCCAGATGTGCAAAGACCCCGCGTGCTACACGGCCCCAGGCCTGGAAGAGCGGCTGAGAGGGACTCTCAGGGGCCGCATTTGGCTTGGCAGCCTAGGGTCCAGAGCAGAGTTCCGAGGTCTAACTGACCCAGGGACGGGATATCAGGTCATTGGGAAATGAGGGTGACAGTGACAGGAAAGTGGCCCGAGACCCAGCGCTGGGCGCGTGCTGTGGGTGTCCTGTGGCTCCTCCTCCCTCACCCTGTAAGGCTGTTACTATTTTTTTTTTGACAGGCAGAGTTAGAGAGAGACAGACAGACAGAGAGAAAGGTCTTCCTTCTGTTGGTTCACCCCCCAAAAATGGCCGCCACGGCCAGCACATTGCACCAATCCGAAGCCAGGAGCCAGGTGCTTCTCCTGGTCTCCCATGTGGGTGCAGGGACCCAAGCACTTGGGCCATCCTCCACTGCCTTCCCAGGCCACAGCAGAGAGCTGGACTGGAAGAGGAGCAATCGAGACAGAATCCGGTGCCCCAACTGGGACTAGAACCTGGGGTGCCGGCGCCTCAGGCAGGGGATTAGCCAAGTGAGCCGCGGTGCCGGCCAAGGCTGTCACTATTAAGAGGCCCATTTATTTCACAGATGAGCGAGCTGAGGCTCAGGGAGAGTGAATGCCTAGAGCCATTCCGCTCTAATGCTGGCCAGGACGGTCACCCAGGACACCTGCCTCGGAGCTGCGGTCCCAGCACTGCGTCGTGTCCTGGGGGCCTTGTCGGATCCAAGATCTTGACTCAGGTCTCCGGAAACAGTGAACTGTCCGCAGAGTAACATTGTTTATTTCAACACCCTTGATACTTTCATCCAATTGGTTTATTTCAGCCTCTAGTGGCTCTTTAATCTCTCTACAGAACTGATAGCAGGATAAGTTCCCTCAGACCCAGGGTGTGCCACCTGCCTGGTTTTCCCAGGACTGTGGGGTTTCCTGGGGCATGGAGCTTTGGGGGCTCAAGCTGGAAACTTAACTCTGAAATCCAGGGCAAGCTGCTCTCCCTCATCAGAGCCGGCTTTTCTCACTGCGTTTAGCAAACGCTAAACGGTAACGGAACAATCCAGAAACAAGTAGAGTGGACAAGCAGGCCCCGGGCTGCCGAGAGCCCCGTCCTCCCTCTGCCCTTCCTCCACGCGGCCCAGGATCCTTCCCAGGACGACAGCCTCCTCCCTCTGCTCTGCTCCAGGGCCACCGTCCTGCCCGGGCCCGCCCCACTTCAGCTTCTCACGTGCTTCCTGTTTTGTTGTCTTACAGCGACAGTCCTGTCAACTGCATGGAGTAAAGGTAAGGCAGGTGGTATCCCCTCCACGTGGCTCCAGGCATGTGGGACTGGGCAATCCCTGAACAAAGAACTCGATGTCTCTGTGCCTGACCACCTGCGGCAGCCTCCACCCTCCCTAAAGTCCTACCCCTCCTCGGGTCTCCGCTCCCTGGTCCTCAATGGCACCCCACTGACGACCCCTCTGTGGCTCCAGGAATCCCTGCACCTCTCATCCCCGCATCGCTCCATCCTCCCAGCCCCACCAGGCAGGGACAGGAGCTGTGCCCCCACCCCCCAACTCAGCCTGAGTCCCAGGAGGCTGGGAGCCTCCTCTCAAGGCCAGCAGTCTTCAGTCCTGAGGGGTGCTCCGGCCTCAAGCTGCAGGAAGAGGGAGCGGGAGTGGTGGTTGGAGGGGTCGGAGCGGAGGGAGGCCCCCTCGGGAGGAAGGCGCCTGCTCCTGGATGGATCCTTGACTGCCTCGCGACCGGGAGGGCCCAGGTGCAGGCTGAGCGGTTTATGGACAGGAGGCACGAACCTCCGGGGCTCAGCCATCTTGGAGGAAGGCACCACTTTCATCTCCATCCCCAGTTTGGAGTCGGAGGCCCCCCCAGCAGGGCCCTGGACCCGCCCGCTCCCGGTGAGGCTTAGGCCTCTCTTGGAGTGGAGAAGGCCTCCTTCACAATTGCTCCTGCGCGGCTTAACGAGATCTTTAGGTGGCAGAAATGAGGTGTTTGTGCTAATTTTTAGAATAATTTTTTAATTTTAATAGGCCTGATAATCACACATATTTGCAGGGTACAGAGTGATGTTTCAAAGCAAATACACACTGGGAATGAGCAAATCTGAGTGACTGGCGTCTGCCTCACCCAGATGCTTCTCAGTTCTCTGCGGTGGGAACACTAAGCATCTTCCTGGAAGCGAGTTTGAGACACACAGATCCTACCACTGTGCAACGTTTTGTGCCAGACCCGGCAGTGGGTTGGGTGTCATGTCAGTTGGCAAACACTTACAGAGGTTCACATCTCTGTTAAGAAGAAAAGTAGACACGTGCATGTATACAAAGTCTACATTTGTTTTTTCCTTAAGATTTATTTATTTATTTGAAAGGCAGAGTTAGAGAAAGAGAGAGAGAGAGAATCTTCCATCTGCTGGTTTACTCCTCAAATGACCATCATAGCCTGGGCTGGGCTGGGTTGAAGCTAAGAGCCCAGAGCTCCACCCAGGTGTCCCGTATGGGTGCAGGGGCCCTAGCACCGGGGCCATCTGCTGCTGCTTTCCCAGCACATTAGCAGGGAGCTGGATAGCAAGTGGAGCAGCCGGGACTTGAACTTGGTGCCCATATGGGAATGCCCACGCTGCAGGTGGTATCTTACCCCACTGCGCCCAACGCTGGTCCTCTAATGTCTACATTTGAAGTGAATGTGGGAAAATGTTAAAACAAATTATAACATTTCAAAACTAAAAATTTTCAAAAATCATTTAAAAAAATTGTTTTGGTGAGCAGTCCTTAAATGCCTTCAATTTCCAATCGCTGAAAACAAATTGTATTCAAAAGGGGTATGGATCTCTTTAAAAAAGCTGAAAAAGATTAAAACAATGCAGCCCGGCCTGGGTGGGTCCTGGGGCCAGGTCCTTGGTGCAGCTGAAGTTGGGCGGTGGGTGGCGCTGCTGCCCTTTGCCCGGTGCTCCTCTTTCTCTTGTCCCGCTCGGCAGACATCACCGGCTGCGGGGGTTACATCACAGAGCCCTGGGGCAGGATCCTCAGCTACACCGGGCCGGACGCCGAGTGTACCTGGACCGTGCAGGTGACCCCCGGCCACCAGGTTCTCCTGACAGTGCCCGTTCTCAAGTGAGTGCGAGGCTGTGAGTGCCCCTCGCTGCCGCCGCTGTAGCTTCTAGAAAGGAGTCTGTCCCGGTCTCTTCCAGGTGCCCCCATCATGGGCCCCTAAACCACATGGCGCCTCCACTCTCATTCCCTGCTGAACCACACTTTCTGGAGGAGGTTTAACCTCCTTGTCATGCTTGTGAGCCCCTCCTAACCTCGCGCCCAGATCCCTCCCCCGCCCCAGTCCTTCTACCCAGGGACCCCTCTCTGGGCTGAGCCACAGCACCCCGAGTTTTCTGCACACCCGGGCCCTGGCAGCCCGCCTTGTCCTGCTCGGCTCCTGGGTGGGTTCTTCCAGATGGGCGGGTCTCTCCCTCCCTCCCTGTGTATTGGGCCAGGGCGTAGGGGGAAGTGTGCCAGTGCCGTGCCCTCACGCCCTCACGCCCTCCGGGTTTACTGGAATAGGAATCCACCTCTGCAGCCCAAAGATTGTTTGTCGAGTGAATGAATGAATAAGATGATAAAGCCACATGAAGCACTTCCGAGGTGTTTTTTAAAAAATTGATTCATTATTTGAAAGGCACAGTTACAGAGAGGCAGAAAGAGAGAGGGAGAGAGAGAAATAGATGTTCTATTTGCTGGTTCACTCTACAAATGGCTGCAACGGTGGTGCCAGGAGTTTCTTCTGGGTCTCCCACGTGGGTGCAGGGACCCAAGACTTAGGCCATCTTCCACGGCTTTTCCAGGCCACAGCAGAGCTGGATTGGAAGTGGAGCAGCCGGGACTAGAACCTGGCATCCATATGGGATGCCGGCACTGCAGCAGGCTGGGACTTTACCCGCTGTGCCACAGCACCGGCCCCCAGCTCTAAGTTATTAAGAATTTAAGGTGTTTCTACCCGAGTACATTTTCACAGGTTTTAACCTAGGCGCCACATTTCCACCAATCCCAGTCCAAGCCACACGGGGCCCACAGCAGGGACTGACACAGGTGCCAGAACCGGTGTGATGCAGGCCTCTCTCCTCCCGGGCCTGCGATGGTGTCTAAGGGCCCTGCGGGGTGGAGGACGCCTGAGAGATGCTGCTTCCAGCACAGGGCTTAGCTTTCTCCCCGAAGGATGTCCCAGCGTTCACCGCGTCACCCTCTCTGCGGGGCTGAACACCTCCCCGTCTTGTCCTCTTGCACTTTCCCCAGATGGTTGTTGGCCCTGCCAAGGAAGGACTCAGGCTGGGCCAAGGGCAACACGGAGTCATCGGGGGCCTGGCGGGACCACCCCTCACTGCCCTAGAGAGGTTCTGGCCCTTCTCCTGTCAACGTGACATGTGCGGGGTTCTAGATGAGCAAGAGGGGTGGGAGATCAGGTTGAGAGAGAGAGAGAGAGAGAGAGAGAGAGAGAGGTGGGGAGACCGCCCAGAAGCATGATGGTCCCTGTGCATGGTGCCTACATAGCAGGTCGAGACGTAGGCCCCTCTCTGCTCTGCCCTGAGACAGGATGAGCGTGAGTGGCTGGGGCCCCGACTGGCAGACGAGGAGCAGGTGAGAGCAGGGAGCAGCTTCCACACGCTTAGGTCTGAGTCCTCGCATCCTGGAGAGCTCTGCTGCTGGCTGTATTGTGACGCTCTGGGGTTCTGAGGCCCAGCTGAGCCCACCTGCAGGCCCGGGAGAGAGGAAGGTGTTCCAAAGAGCCGGGAGGTGAGCCGGGAGGTGTCCCGGGGCTGGGGCTGCTCCAAGAAAGAACTCCCAGCTTTTCCCTCTCTGGTCTGCACCAGGCCTTGTGTGTCGTGACTGGAAGCCGGGGATCCGGCGCCCAGCCACAGAGCGAGGGCAGCTCCAGGCTGGAGGGAGGGTGATTTCAAACACTGACGCCCCACTTCGCCTCTGCCCGCACAGCCTCACCTGTGAGAGAGAGAAGCTGGAAATCTTGGACGGGTCTCTGACATCTCCCTCCTACGAGAATATCTGTAGAGGCGTAGCTCTCAGCTACCGCTCCTCCTCCAACATCATAACCATTAAGTACTCCAGAGAAGCCGACCAAACGCCCTCGTTCTTCGAGATATATTACTATGGCGATCCCCAGGGAGGTAGGTGTTGGATGGGGGAGCCGCTGGCGGTCCCCTTCCCCACCCAAGCCTGGCGGTGCGGCAGGCTGGGCAGAGGCTGCGCGTGGGACTGCTGGAACAGAGGAGAGGCAGCCTCCTCCTGGGCTGCCTCCGGGCGAGGAAGAGGGAGCCTGACCCAGGGGCCCTCACGTACACCTGCGTGGCTTCTAGCCCAGCGTTTCTGCACGTCTTTCAAATGGGTAGAACCGATATAAAAACTATTTTCTAAATCATACCAGTCGTTTTGATGATGGGTCATATGTTTCTCAAAATACATGATCTTTCTCCTTACTAATTTTTTAAAAAGATTTATTTATTTATTTATTTGAAAGACAGAGTTACACAGAGAGAGAAGGAGAGGCAGAGAGAGAGAGAGAGAGAGAGAGAGAGGTCTTCCCTCCGCTGAGTCACTCCCCAATTGGCTTCAACGGCCAGAGCTGGGCTGATCCGAAGCCAGGAGCCAGGAGCTTCTTCTAGGTCTCCCACGTGGGTGCAGGGGCCCAAGGACTTGGGCCATCTTCTACTGCTTTCCCAGGCCATAGCAGAGAGCTTAATCAGAAGTGGAGCAGCCGGGACTCGAACCAGCATGCACATGGGATGCCAGTACTGTGGCGGTGGCCTTACCCACTACGCCACAGCACTGGCCCTCTCCTTATTAATTTTATTATGATCCTTTCAGCACTTTCTAGTGTATTCTAGTGTATGTGATCCATATATTCTATATGTAAGTATAGAATAGGTGCTTACCATGTTCAAGGTGCTACATTGTGAACCTCAGGCATGATAGCTCATTTCATCTGGAAAAGAACTCTGTGGTTGGGATTACGAGCTCCTGTTTATGGATGAGAGAGCCAAGGCTTAGGGAGGGTGAGTTGTCCAAAGCCATTGAGCTGTAGTGCCGAGTAGGACTGTCACCCAGGGCACCTGGTGCTGAGTCGCGGCACCGTGTCCTGAGCCACGTCGCCACGGGATCCACCTGACTCTTGCAGGGCTCTTGCAGCCGAGTCCCTGAGATCCTGAGAATCCATGAATTATGCAGCTGATTTCTCCTCACAAGAACGCGCTGCTCAAGGAATCTGCTCTGATGTGAAACAGGCCGTGAGGGCAACGCAGAGTTTACAACGAGAAATGCCCAGAGCAGGGAGAAGCCGGCCGGCCTGGGTCGCCAGGGGCCCGAGGTTTCCTGGGACACAGGATCTCAGAGCTCAGGGTTGGAAGTCGCAGGCAGTGCAGGGTAGGGCGGTCTCCCTGCCACAGCTGTCGTTGCTGACCGGGCCTGCCGCGTTCTGCAGTCTCACGTCGATCAGAATCGGAGAAAGAAGGAGCCAGCCGTGAAGGAGCTTGGCCATGAGTGCTGGGAGCAGCGCCTTCCTCCTGCCCGTCCCTGTGAGCTGGGCTGGGGCAGCGAGGCCACCTCCCCTCTCCGCTCAGCTCCGTCCGTTCACGCTCAAGCTCCCCCTCACAGCACGCCTCGTCCATCCTTCTGCCTGGACCCATCAGCCGCGTGGGCTTCATTTGTTTCTTTTTTTTTTTTTTCTTCTTCTTCTTCTTCTTCTTCTTTTTTTTTTTTTTTTTTGACAGGCAGAGTTAGACAGTGAGACAGAGAGACAGAGAGAAAGGTCTTCCTTTTCTATTGGTTCACCCCCTAAATGGCCGCTGCGGCCGGCGCACTGCGCTGATCCGAAGGCAGGAGCCAGGTGCTTCTCCTGGTCTCCCATGTGGGTGCAGGGCCCAAGCACTTGGGCCATCCTCCACTGCACTCCCGGGCCACAGCAGAGAGCTGGCCTGGAAGAGGGGCAACCGGGACAGAACCGGTGCCCCAACCGGGACTAGAACCCGGTGTGCCAGCACCGCAAGGCGGAGGATTAGCCAAGTGAGCCGTGGCGCTGGCCTGCTTCATTTGTTCCTGTGTAGTTTTCTCTGCCCACTGGGACAGACAGAGGGAGGATGTGGGCAGTGTCATGGCCTCCTTTCTGCTCATGCGCCTGCGTTTTTGGGTGGGACTTCAGCATCAGGGGCTCCTGCTTCCTGGGCCTGACGGTCAATGTAAGCGTGGTCAGTCCTGGAATCCGCCCCCATTCGGGGCTTCCCACCTGCTCCTCCCCCCACCCTCTGCAGCCCAGGGAGCCCCCCCTGCCCCCACCCCGTCCCCCCAGCCTCTCTAGGCAAGGTCAGAAGCTGCCCCTCCCCAGCGCCCGAGTCCCAGGACCCCAGGGACTGCCTGGAGTCTGCAGAGCTGAGGGGCTGCTCCTTCCTCAGTGTCAGAAAGGGGAGCGTTGCAGGAAGGGGGGCGGGAGTGGCGGGAGGAGGCGGTGGCAGGGGAGGGGGGCTTCCTCCAAGTGCAGGTGCCTGGTGACAGATTGGTTACCTGGTGGCGAGAAGGTGCCGGGCACAGGCTACCTGGTGGTGAGAAGGTGCCGGGCACAGGCTCAGCAGTTCACGGACGAAGCCCTTTGATGGTACAGCACCTCCTGTGTCGGGTGCGGTCCGTCCAGGGTGGTGATGGAGATGGAGACGGAGGCGTGACGGGCGGCCCCCCAGCGCTCTCTCCTGGTTGCAGGGGCTGACACTTGCGGCGGCGTCCTCACAGACCCCACAGGCAAGCTCTCCAACAGCCCCAGCCCCAGCTCCTCCTGTGTCTGGAACATCCTGGTGCAGCCAATGCAGAGGATCCGCCTGCAGCTCCCCGCCCTCGGGTGAGTGCCTCGCGGAGGCTGCTGTGGTTTCCCAGGGGCAGTCTCTCCGAGCCCCTCCCCGTTTACGCCTGTTTGTGCCATGGAAACCACAACTGAACTCTTTCCTGAAATCCTGCAGTGGCTCGTGCCGTCTGGTCGAGTTTAGCCCCTGAGCCTTTGCCTGTATGGAACCCTCCGTGCCATTTCTGATCTCCCTTCCCTCCCGACCACGTCCGCCCTCTGGCCTCCCTCTCTGCTGAGCCACACGCACGGAGATTTCTGGACACAGCAGGCTGTAGCGGCTCTGCCTCGCCTCACCCCGCCCCTCTGCCTGGCTCTGTGCTGGAAGTGGGAGGCTTGATGGGAACCAAGAGAGGTGGAGAGGTGGGAGATGAGGTGGGTGGTAGCGGGTGCATAGAGGAAGGGGGAGACCGCCCAGGATTGCTCGGTCTGGGTGGGCAGTACTTCCTGTAGTTGGAGATGAGGGCCCTCTCCCTATGCCCTGGGCCAGGGAGGCCAAGCTTGGACCAGCTGCCCCATCTCCTGTCCCACCCCATCTGCCAACGAGGGAGAGGCAGGAACCAGGGAGCGGTGGCCACACACTCATGTCTGACCTTCAGCAGTGACACATGCCCTTGCTGGACTCTCATGGAACCTGAGAAGCAGCTGGTGCCTCAGATTTAAATTCCTGTGCTGGAGACCCAGAGCCACGGGCAGGGCACCTATAGCGCAGGTGACAGGAGGGTCCTGCTGTGATCGGGGTGGGCCCGATGGCTTCGCAATGTTAGCAGTACGTCCCTCCCCTGGTTCCCACCTTTGCACTCTCCACGGATGAAGCTGGTGTGGTCCGGTGCCTGGCATCAGGGGACGGGGGTCGGAGGCCTCCGCTGGAGAGAGGACAGTCCCAACGCCCATTGCTTTGCTTCTGCCGACAGCCTCACCTGTCCAGATGAGCATGTGGAAATCCTGGATGGGTTTGTGCTCTCTGAGTCCCTCGGGAAGATCTGTCAGGGCTCGGCTCTCCTCTACCAGTCTACCTCCAACGTCGTGACGGTCAAGTACACCAGAATCCCCAGCCGGCAGCCCACACCCTTTGAAGCGCTGTACTCCAGTGTATCAGCAGGTAGGGGGCGCTGGGGTCCTGCTGAGGCTCTTTCCCTGCACGCACGGCCACGCGGTGTGATGGGCTCAGGTTGTTTGTGTGGCTGCTAGAGCAGAGGTGCCAAAGTCCTTTGAACCACCACTGAGTGTGAGGAGTGTGACACACTCGCTCTCTAGAAGTAGCCACAGCCAGGGTCTCTCCAATCCCAGACAGCGGTGGGGACCGGGAGACCTGAGCCTGGATCAAGGTGCAGCTATTGTAGACTAGGCCTCCATCTCGTAACTCGGACCTGACCAGGCCCTGAATCCTAAGCCAAAAGCTCCTACAAAAGAAAATAAAACTCCCCTTGTGATGAACTCTCCTGGCAACAGCCAATTAGCAGATGGCAGGGTTGTTATCAATCACCTAACTGCCTGAAAGGACACCTGGAACTTGGCGTATTTCCCTGCTATCTGCCACCCTGGGGCAGGCACCGGCCAGTGTCCCACATGGGTGCAGGTTGATACCTGGCCCAGCTTCGCATTCCAGCTTCTCGCTGACGCACACCCTGACACACAGCAGTGATGGCCCACGTGACTGGATTCCTGCCGTTCACGTGGGAGATCAAGATTGCCTTCCAGCATGGCCTCTGCCCAGCTCGGGGCCACTGTGAGCATTTGGGGAGTGGAACAGTAGATGGGAGAGCCCTCTTTCTGCCTCTAAATAAATAATAATCTTTAAAAAGGCAGAGTCCAGTTAAATCCTGGCTGAAAAGAACAGAGAGATAGAAATGACAGGGAGCTGGCTCTGTTCTGCTCTGAGCCTGGTCAGAACGCGGCCCGGGCTGCTTGCGCTGGACAGCCAAGGCCACCGCAGATGAGGTTTATTCAAGAGGCTGGCAATCTTGGGGGGTGGATGGCGCGGACCTCTTCACTCCAGAGGTCCCTCCGCCGCTCACACACACTCTGCAAGTTACCAGGAGGATTTTTAAGGGACAAAAGTGGTCTTGGGGGAGGTTGTGCCATGGGCTCGGAGGGTCAGTGCTGTTGGTCAGCCTGTGGCCGCTCAGGGGAGGGTTCTTGGATGTGAAACCTGTGGGTTTGGGCTGTGGTTGCACACTTCTTCCTTGCCTGAGGGCTGCGGCTTGAACCGTTTCTCGGCAGACGAGTCCAGCCCGTGGTCAGGCTGCCCGGGGTGGGCCCGATGACCTTGCAGCGTTGGCAGGGCTTTCCCATGCCAGATTCTGGGATTCTCAAGCAAGCGCTGTTTGTGTCTTGAACAGAACAGGCTCTCTGATGGTCGCTTCGTTAGTGTGAAACAGGGAGGGAGAGCGGTCAGTGCGGGGGCACCCGTGGCTTGCCGTTTGGCTGTGGGTTTGTCCTTTCTCTTCTTTCAGCCACGATGTGGCCATTTATAAATCGGGGCTAGACATGGATGCATGATAATGGTTTCAAACCACCAGGTAATATTGATTCAGCCTTTATTGTGTTCTAGGTACTACAAGGAGGATTTGCCCAATTTCACTCTGTGTGGGTAGCATTATTATGTCCACTTAACCGGGAGTGACCCGAGGCCTCAAGAGAGAATAACTTGTGTGCAGCCATTCGGGCTCACTGTCCGTGAGGGCCTTACGTTGATGATGCACTGTGCTCATGGTGCCACGTCCTGTCCCAGACCCACTCACCCACGCGGGGAGGTTGGCTGATTGCATTAATGGCCCTTGGCTCCAAGGCCTGGTTGAACCGAAGTCTCTGAAATGATGAACATTTTGTAAATTAAGAGAACGCCTTTCCCCTTAGTGGGATATTTGTTCAGTTGATTTCTGCAAACATCAGGTTGCTCCCTGGTCCCTTTACAGGATTTATAACAGGCAGCGTTCAGGTCAGAGTGGAGGTGACCGAATGCCACGGTGTGCCCAGCCCTGCAGCCCTAGGACAGCTCCCAGGACTGGGACGTCCCCTAACTGACCAGGGACAGCTCCCAGGGCTGGGGACATCCCCTAAGTGACCAGGGACAGCTCCCAGGGCTGGGGACGTCCCCTAAGTGACCAGGGACAGCTCCCAGGGCTGGGGACGTCCCTTAAGTGACCAGGGACAGCTCCCACGGCTGGGGACGGCGCCGCCACCTCCTCCGTGTGCTCAGCTCCGCCCCTCCACACCCCGGCTCCTCCTCACAGCGCTCCTTGTCCTGTTCTCATGTTATTTTTCTCTTTGTGTCTTTTCAGAGCCAGATGAGCTACAAGCAAGGGCAGGAGGTAAACTGGGCGTGATCATCTCACCTTTGCTTTACCCCAGACTGAGCCTCACCTGGAAATTGATGCTCCTGGCGCCCAGATAGGCTGTGCCGACTTCAGGCTCCACTGTGTCTGGGGGCCCCTCTCCCCGTCCTCTTAGGAATCCCCTCCTTGGTCCTCATCCACACCCCACTGGTGACTCCTGCACAGCCCCGGGAGGCCCTCACACCTGCCTGTCTTCTCAGCCCCTAGGCAGGGATGGGAGACGTGAGAGCGATGCAAGAAGAGGCAGTCGGAGGGGAGAGGAGTCCCCATGGGATGCAGGTGCCTGTTGATGAAAAATCCGTTGATTCCCAGTGGCGAGGGCTGCCAGGTGCAGCCTGGGCGACTGGCAAAGGGGAGCTCCCTGGGTCCTGCGTGTTCCTCCCCATCCCCCAGAGCCTCGGGTGCCCCTGGGCAGAGCTTGTGCTCAAGCAGTCCTTGTTTCACGGAGGGCTTAGGCTTGTCTTGGGACGGGGGACCCGTCTGTTTGCCCTGTCTCTGGCCCGTCCTGGGAAAAGACTTCAGGGAGGCAGAACCGTGCCTATGGAGTGGGTTTCCACACTCTGCTCACAACTGGGGCAGCAGGCTGAATGATAAAGAAGTGAGGGGTGGTAGATTTCTGCTACTGCGCACTGGTCTAAAAGAGATACTGCAAATGGCTCTAGGCACCGGGAGTCTCCAAGTGTGTGAAAGAAGGCAGCTTTGTCTGGGACAGTGGCTACGAGGCCATCTGTTTTCCCGAGAGGACCTGGAAGGCAGGAGAATTAACCAGCACATGCCCCAGGAATGGAGAGTCCCCTCCCCTCCGAAGTGGCCTCAGAGCCCCACAATTCCCTGTTCCCCGGTTGCAGGGCCTGCCCAGTGTGTGGGTCTCTTCACACGTTCTTCAGGAAGGCTGGTCAAGCACGCCAGGGGCCAGAGAGGGTGTGTCTGGATCATCCGCGTGCAGCCGTCATACCTCGTGCACCTGTCGTTTCCTCTGCTCAGGTGAGTGTCTGGGGTGATTTTCTGCGTGACGCTGTGGTTTGGGGGAGGACTCTGCCTGGACATCCTGGCGGTTCTCCCTCCACCCAACCCCAGGGGCCTCAGACAAAACTCCCTCACTCCCTGCCGCACACCGCTTGTTGGCTCCTGCCGTCTGGGTCAAGTTCGCTTCACAAAACCCTGCGTGTGGACTCTGGATCCTACCTCCCTCCTAACCCCTTCTCCCATCTGGTTCTTCTCTCTGGGCTGAGCCACAACACAATTTTTTTTTGCAAATGCCAGATGCTGGCTCATAGCACGCGGTCTGCCTGGATGTGTCCTTCACCCTTCCCCAACCCTGCCCTCCACCCTCTGCTTGGTTTCTTCTCTGAGCGGCTCATGGCCCTGCTGCGTCTCCTCCTCTGTGGACCCTGGATCTCTGCCACACTCCTTTGTATCCCATCAGACCCCCCAGAACGTTCCTAGGTGAACGATAGCACCACGTTGCATTGTGTCTTCCTTTGTGTCTACCGGAGGGGAAGCCCTGGCTCGAGGGTTCCAGATAAGTTTTTTGAGTGAATGAGGGATGCAGCGACCAAGCTGCAGAAGTATTGAGAATGCGCAGTGAGTTAACACGTTGACACCCAGGGCAGTCTCCGCCGACTTTAACGTGGGAGCCGCATTGCCATCAATTCTAGACCAAGCTACACACGGCCCACAGGGAAGGGTGATAGAACCTGTGTGACTAAGGCCCTGCCCACCATGTACCAGCTGTGAGTTGGGGCCACTACTAATATGCAGACGCTCTGTGGATGAACGGCACCTCCTTTTTTGGGACACCTCCCGAAGTCATGGTTTTTGGTGTTGCTGGGAACGTGGAAGCTTGATCTAATTATGGTGCTCGGGAGGTGGGCCGAGTGGAGATCCTGAGGCCATTGGCAGTAGGCCCTTAGAAGGTAGGTTCTTGCCAGAGAACTCTTAATCAAAGCCAAGTTGGGCTCAGCCATGATTCCAACATCCTGGCTCCCACCCACCGTCCCCTAGCCTCACCAGGTGGGTGAGCTAGCGGGTCCTGTCTGATCGTGGACTGTGGAGCTGCAAAACCAGGAGTGAAGAGAAATCTGCTCCCTTCATTAGTGTCTCTCCACAGGTGTTCCACTGTGGTATTGAGAAACCAGCAATGCGACTCCTTAAAGACGGCTGCCTCCAAAGTAGTGCTTGGACAGACTTGTACTGTGCCTGAGGATGCTGGAAAGGGATGGATGGATAATTCTGGAAGGAGACCAGGGGGAGACAGGTTTAAGGAAAGGATGAGGGATAGAGTCAGGTGTTTCCTGTGTCACCATTTCTCCTGGTGTCAAGAGGAACAGACAGCTCTGAATAGGTCCCTATTTGTCCCTTTGTCCTGCCCAAAGATTGATCTCAGGTCTTACTGTCCCTGGCACCGAGGAAGGACTCAGGCTGGTTGACAGGAAGCTGTGTGCCCTGGTGGCAGGTCCCCACCTCCGAGCCGTCTCCAGGGAGTGGCATCCACAAGCCCCTGTGGGATCCTTGCATCCTGACCCAAGACCATGGCTGAAGAAACGCATTGTGGAGTTGCTACTGTTGATGCTTTGGGTCCCGAAACACAATGCATACCTGGATTAACGTCCTGGGTGGGACTCCAGACCCCAAGCGGGGATTTCAAGGAGGCTTGGGAGCCCCCTGAGGCCATGGTGGACAAGAAAATGCTCAGGGGAACCTGGGCTTGGATGGTGCCTGTTCAGAACCGAGAATCTTTCCCCACTTGTCAGTCCCTGCCCCTGCAGGGCCCAGGCCTGAAGCTGGAGTGACCTGGAGTCAGGCCCTCGGGGAGGCAGGGCGATTCCGAATGCTGATGCTGACTTTTCCTGCTCACCCCCAGACTGGATTGTAAGCAGGAGAGGGTGGAAATTCTGGATGGATATCCAGGGTCCGTTTCCCTGGGGACAGCTTGTACGGGCTCGTCTCTCGCCTATCTCTCGTCTTCCAACACCATGACCGTCATATACAACAGCACTTCCAACTACTCACCCACATTCTTCGATGCATACTACCACAGTGATCTGAAAGGTAGGTGTTGGGGGGGGTGGGGGTCTGCCAATGCCCTTGCCCTCCCTAGGCTGGCTTTGGGGCTATTTGTGGGACTGTTCATATAAAGCTGCTGGGTTGCCCCTGTGTGAGGGGGAGTGGGTGAGTCCCAGGGCTAGTGTTTACAGAAACATCCATGGCCACAGGCATGGTTCATCTCAACCACAACCAGCCCTTCTGTGCAGGTACCCACGGTATGTAGGAACTGTGCCTGTATCTGGGAGTTGGGGTGTGTATCCCTCAGAAAAGAGAATATTTTCTCCGTGTTGCTCTTCTGTGTACCTCTCTGGCATCTTCTAATGTATTTATATACAGTATATAGTAATACCTCTTGTATAGAGTATTCACAGTTTGTGGCACACACATTCTATATAAAAGCCCAGTTAGAGGATGGATAGATAGAAAGATAGATATATGGACAGATAGATTAGATGGATAGATGGATGGATGGATAGATAGATAGATAGATAGATAGACAGACAGACAGACAGATAGAGGGTCATGGCACTTTGTGGTTAGAGCCTGGTGCAGCATGTATACATTTTGGTTGGTCACTTGTGATGCAGGCAGTGGTAGGATGCACAGTCTTTCTCTAAGAGGCTTATCTTTCTGATGAGGACTGAAACCCACTCACAAAAGTCTCAGAGCAACGTAGGGAAAAATGGCCCAGGACTCTCCCCCAGGCAGCGGTGGAGCGGCAGACATGGAGGGCCTGGATGCTTCCTCCCCAGCTGGAGTGATCCAAGGAGGCTTCCCAGTGAGCTGGGCTGGAGCCTGGCAGCCCAGGGGGGCAGAGTGGGGCGGCTGGAGCAGGCTGCCCTGAACAGCAGGGGCCACGTGCGCCAGGGGCTGCACTGAAGGGCGTGGAGGGGAGGGCTCCTCCTCGTGGACCTCTGAGAACCCCTGGCTCTGTACCCTGGGGCCTGGTGGGAGCATCTGAGGGGCCCAGACACGACGTGGGACCCTCGGGGGTCCACCCCATGCGCATGCACCCAGTCCTATCAGCTCTGCCCTAGTGGGCTCGGGGTGGTCCTCCTCTACCCACCCACACGGTCTCACTAGGCAGAGATGAGCCGCCTGTCCACAGAGCCTGTGCCCCGGAGCCCGGGGCCTTCCCTCCAAAGCCTGGAGCCTGCAGAGCTGAGCGGCTGCTCCATCTTCAGTGTCAAAAAGGAGCAGGAAAAGGCAGCGGCGTAGCAGGAGGAGGCAGTGGGAGGGCAGGGAGGTGCAGGCACCTGTCGATTGGTGGTTTTCCCAGGGATAGAAGGTGCTGCACATGGGCTGAGACGTTTGTAAACCCGAGCACATCGGATTGCTGGTGGGAGGCGCGTTTTCCTCCTCATTCCCTGTGTGGGAGCCTGGAGCTTCGTGGCTCCACCATAGTGGTGGCCATCTTTCCCACAGGTGGATTCCCGTCTGCACAAGGAATTAGGCTGCTCTTGGAGCAGGAGAGCCGTCGGTTTGCTGCCTCTCTGATCTAGGAAAAGGGACGGAGGAGGCACGAAGCAGGCACTGGTGCTGACGATGTTCTGTTTCCCAGCTGGTAGTGTGGCTGATGTTGAAGAATGTTTAGGGAGAGGAGTTAAATTTCTCCCACTTCCTGCTTGTCAAAAGTCCCCATGCACATAGGCACGGGCAGCGAAAGTCCACGAGAGAGCACGCAGAGGGGGCACAGTTAGGTGCGGGATCACCAGGCTGCTTGTCAATGGGATCCGTTTCCCAGCTGTAGGTTCAGGGGGACCAGTAGTGGTGGGGTCAGCCGTGAGCCAGCCCCTCCACAGGGGGAGCTGCCCTGGGTTCCTGCCTTCTGTTTGCAGAGACTGAGACATGCGGGGGCCACCTCACGGATCTCTGGGGCCGGCTGATCCACCTTCCCGGGTACAAAGCCTCCTGTGTCTGGGTCATCAAGGTGAAGCCAGGTCGGAGAGTCTCTCTGGCGTTTCCTGCCCTCAAGTGAGTGCTCCAGACGCGTCTTCTTGGCCGAAGTTGGAGTTTTCAGGGACGATTCCCAGCGTGGTCTCTCGGGGTCACCTCTGCTCATGGGCCACGTGTGTCTAAAACACAGTCTGACCCGTTTCTCACTCTCCGCTGAAATCTTCCAGTGAGGGTTTCTTGTCTTCCGGGAAACGTGCCTGGCCTTGGCACAGCTTTGGAAAACTCCTCGGTGATCTGGTCCCGGAGCTCCCCTCTCTTCTGTTCACTTCTTTCTTGGTCTCTGTCGGGGTGCAGCCACAGCCCATTGGGATTCCTGGACACACCGGACTGTGGGGCGGCTCTGTGCCCGAGCCCACGCCATCCCCTCTGCCTGGAGTGCATCCACTGACCCCTGCCTCGTCTAGGATCCTCCGTGGGTCCTGAGCAAGCTCGAGGGTTAATTCTCCCAGGTCTTCCTGGCTCCTTCCCAGCTACACAGGGCTCTCTCACCTTGCACCCCATCAATTACCTTGTGGAAATCCCTAGGCACAATTTAGTTAGTATCATGTGCTTATTTATTTGTTTGCTCTACCACGAGTGGAGCACTAACTCAGGTTCCGGCTGGATTTCTTGAATGAATGAATGAATGAATGAATGAGTGCATGTCCCCGTCTGTTCTCTGTCACTGCACCTGCCTGTGGCCGGGTAAGCTTTAAAGAACAGGGAGTTGCCAGTGTTCTGGAGGCTGAACGTTCAAGAGTGCCAGGGCTCGTGCTGCGTCGGACCTTGTGGTGTTAAGCAGCAAGGCAGGCAGAGAGTGTGCAAGACGCAGAACATGGGGGCCGTCCTAGGGAGAGCTCCACCGATTTTCTTCCTGGAAGCCATATTTCCATCAGGATCAGATCAAGTACAATGGCGGGAGAGACAGATGATGGAATCTGGGTGACAGTGTCTTCTCTCCCTCTGGATTGGCCCTTGGGCCAAAACCCTTGAAAACATACCATAGGCCACCTACGTAACCTACGCTCCAGGGTAGCTGAGGACGCCCGGACAGGGAGACAGGGAGAAGACCACAGAGCAACCCGTGGGCGTTAATGGCAGCACGGCTCATGGGTCAGAGGAGAGGCGGTTCTGTAGTTCCCTGTACGGTGTGTTTTGTTCAGAGTGTTTTTTATGTTTTGGTTGTGATCTGCCCTTCGCTGTACTCAGATTGGGCCATCGTAGTCTAATGGGAGCCCAGTGTATCCCGGCGGGCTGTCCCCCAACCTTGTCTTACCCCAGAGAGGCTCTGACATCTCTGAGGGCATGAGATGTGCTAGGGGTGAAGAGAGGAGGAGGGGTGGGAGAAGTAGGGGCGGGGGGCTCCCAGGACGAGAGCAGCCCACGTACAGTTTGTCTCTTACTAGATGGAGACGGGGGCCCTGTCCCAGGTCAGAGTGGCTAAGCTTTGGCTGGGATGCGGAGGACAGAGGCACAGCAGGTTCCTGGGCTTCAGATTCCTGTGTGGGCGCCCCAGAGCCGCAGGCGGGGCTTCCCAGGAGAGTGGAAGCCACCGGCAACCTGGGGTGGGGGGAGGCGCCCGGGTGACTGTCATCTGTTCAGAAGTTTTCTTCCCTAGCTCACACTTGGCCTTGCCGTTCTCATGAATGCCACGGGGGTGACTTGGCTCTGACCGCTGGTGGGGGAGGCTGCCTGTTGGGGGAGGGATGATTCCCAATGCTGATGCCCGCGTTCCCGCTGCCCCACCAGCCTCACCTGTGAGAATGAGCACGTGGAAATCCTGGCTGGGACCCCGGATGCCACTTCCCTTGGGAGAATTTGTCAGGGCTTCTCACTCGTCTACCAGTCCAACTCCAACACCATGACAGTCAAATACTCGACTAAGCGCTCGGGACCGTCCTCTTTCTTCGAGGCATATTACTACAGTGACCCAGAAGGTACGTGGGAGATCCTGGCCTGTTTCTGCCTCCTGGCCTGCTGACATGACGTGCGCGTGGCCGTTCCTGCAACTGATGAACGCAGTCCAGCCAGTGTTCTAGTGGCCACCGCTCGCTGAGTGAGAGTCAGTGTGGGCCGGCGACCCCTCCCAGCGGGTACATCGGTCTTCCCTTCTGTGGATGTGTGGACCCTGCATTCCCACCTGCCCAGGCTCTGTGGATGGGCAGACCCACCATGAAAACTCAGAAGCGCCCCCTTTGTCCCGATGAGTGGGATGTGCGAATTAGTAGGAAATGTAACTTCCCACTGTATTGACAGTGGTACATCGTCCGAGGTGGTGCAAGTCACTTAGAAGTTGCTAGTGTATTTATTCATGCTGTGTCATGTACTTTGCATAATGTGTACATGTGTGATGCACATACTACATAAAATGTATATGTTCATTCTCATATATGTAATTGTATTTATGTCTGTGGGTAGACATGTAATATAGAAGTAGATGCCCAAAGTTAAAAATCACACTATAGGCATGTGATGTACTGTATACAGTTCCAGAAATTTTGATGAACCCTCAAGATCAAATAATGCAACATTAGCAGTTGGCTCCTGGCTTCCGGTGGCTTGCTGATGGCCTTTGATTAGAATAGTCCAGTCAAGCTCTGGCCACCAGGAGCCAAGGACGTAACAATTTCAAGTGCTACAGCATCTGACCTGCTGCCTTAGACAAGTCACCGCACCCTTTTGGATTTTGTTTTCCCCATTCATTACTTGGGGATAGAAACATTGTAGCGATTAGACATGGTAGCAGTCAGTTAGCATTCTTCCTCCTTTATATACTCCTTTAAAAAAATTCAGGAAAGTTTTCAAATTTCACTTTGACGGTCACCTTATGTGGCTGGGGTTTCGCAGGGTGGGGGTGCTCAGGGGGAGTAAGGAACCCGTCCCGAGGCACACAGCTGAGATGCCTAGAGCTCAGGCTCCCGGCCCCTAGGATCTAAGCTGGGCTCCCGCCCACCTCATCGTCGGAGGAGCCGCAGAACCGGGACACCAGAGACTGCCCTGCGGTTGTGTCCAGGTCTCTTAGTCCCTAACTCAAGTTTCTAAAATACTGAAACTTTCTTAAATCTCTCTCTCTCTTTTCAGAGAAATTTTATTCAGTTGTTTTCCTCCAACATAAAATTGGTCTCAGTGATCATTCACAATGAGAAATGCTCAGGTTGCTGGTTGTTCCGCATTATCAAGGACTGAATTTTCTAGAAGGCGAGATTTCAATGCTGGAGTGTCAGACTGCTGGGTACACCAGGGCAAATTGGTCACCCTGGTCAGAGTTCTTTTCTGAATGTTGGTGCCAAGTAGGAAGGCTGGACGTGAATTGATTAAAATGGACAAAGAAGGAGAGAGCCGTGAGTGAGCTGATTGTCGAGTGTGAGAGCCGAACCTTCTGTCCCTCCTCCAGTGGCCCTGGACTGTGGTCTGGGGTGGGACAGTGATGCCGCCTCCTCTGGCCAGCTCCTAAGTCGAGGGTGACCCTGGACTGCGGTGTGGGGTGGGACAGTGATGCCGCCTCCTCTCTGGCCAGCTCCTAACGAACTCCTCCTGCTTGATCGCACAGCAACGTCAGCTTCTCATTTCCTTCTCTGTCTCTTGCAGAGGTGCCCACGTTGCCAGAGGGAAGCGGTAAGTGTGCACGCCATCCCCGCCCCTTCCCCGCCCTCACACAGGCACTGTGCGCCTCTGAGCTCAGCGCCCCGTGGCTCCCTCGGAAGCCCACGGACAGGGACTGTGTTCCTGGCCAAAACAACTCAGTGGTGCTGAGTGTGAACATCTGCTTCCGCTCCCACAGCCCCTGAGTCCCTGTCCCCATCCCGGCAGGACTCCCCTCCCTGTTCCTCAAACCCATCCCACGGGGGACTCCTGCCCAGCCCAGGGACCCTCACCCTGACCTCTGCACAGCCTCACTTGGCAGGGACAGGACCTGTCCCCCAGGAGCCTCCTCTGAACGCCTGCTCCACCCGCAGCGTGAGCAGTGACAGTGTTTGCAGGAGGAGCGAGGGCGTGTAGTGGGAGGAGCTTGTTGCAGGGGAGGGGGCACCCTGGGCACGCAGGGGTGTGCTTGGTGCTCAGGGCGTGCTGAATACAGAAAGGAGCTTAACAAACAGGAGCCCGCTGGATCCCGGAAGACTGCTGAGGACAGCTCTGTGTAGGCGGTCAGAGAGTGAGCTACCGCTGTGAGGGTGGGGATTTAGGGAAGGAGGGATTCTCTGAGGGGGGGGGCCTCTGCTTAGGCAGGCAGCTGGCTATTTGCTGTCTGTCTGGCCTGCACCAGGGAAAGATCCCAACAACCACAAATGGGACACCCTGCTGGCTCCCGGCTCTCCCGCCTGGAAATGTGGTTCCTCAGACAGCACGTTTTAGGAGGGGCTGTTAGTGCTCCTCTGCTGCCCATTGTGCTTTTCTTTCTTTTAAAGATTTATCTATTTATTTGAAAGGCAGAGTTACACAGAGAGAGAAGGAGAGAGGGAGAGAGAAAGAGAGAGAGAGAGATCTTCCAACCGCTGGTTCACTCCTCAAATGGCCACAACAGCTGGAGCTGTGCTTATCCGAAGCCAGGAGCCAGGAGCTTCTTCCGGGTCTCCCATGCAGGTGCAGGACCCAAGCACCTGGGCCTTCTTCTGCTGCTTTCCCAGGCCACAGCAGAGAGCTGGATCAGAAGTGGAGAGGCCGAGACTAGAACCAGTGCCCATATGGGATACCGGCACTGCAGGCGACGACTTTACCTGCTATGCCACAGTGCCGGCCCCACCCCATTGCACTTTTAAATCTAAGCATGGACTGCTTAACACCTCTGAGAAGAGGAAGCAAAGGCAGCATCTATGGGATCCTCACTCTCGGGTCACCCACACCACCCATTGTCCTTGAAACTGAAAAGTGAGGAGAACGAACGAGGCTGGGGCCCCACCAGGGACGCAGGTGCCGCCCTGCGGGTCCTGCATGTCCGTTCCTTCTGTCTGTAGATCCCAGGGAATGTGAGAACCACTTCATAGACCTGTGGGGCAGGTCCACGCTTTCCCGGACGAGGACCTCGCCCTGCATCTGGACCCTGGTCATAAAGCCCACGCAGCGAGGCAACCAGCACGCGTCTTTCCTTAAGTGAGTGCAGGCGGGAGCTTTCTCTGACCCTGTGTGGTGTTCAGGGATGATCTCCAGCGTGGCCTGGCCCCGTGCGCCCTTCCCCCACCCAGCACAGCCGCCAGAACACGCTGGCTGTGTGTTCACTCCCTGCAGGAAGCCCCGCCTTCTGACTGAGGGCTCCTCTCCTCTGCTGACTGCAGCATCCTCACAGCCTGACTCCAGGGTGGCTCCTCTCTGACTTCTGTCCCAGGCCCCCTTTCTGAGCTGAGCCGCAGCACCCTGAGCTTGTAGCAGCACCCACTTTGCCCTCTTCCCAGCATGCATCCTTCCATCCCTACCAGGCTCACCGGCCCTCTGCTTCGAGTCCCAGACTTGTATTTTCCAAGTCTTCCATAAAGCCCTCTTGACTCCCTCCCAGGTGGGCAAATCTCTCCCTTCTCCCCTCTCTGAAATCCTGTGCAAATCTCTACTTGGAACACAAAGCGTGAAGTTTTCCTCGCTTATTTATTTTACATCTGCTGGAATGGGAGCTCTGGCTTTGAGCAGAAGGGGTATTTCTTGAATGAGTGACGCGATGATTGACAGGGAGGATGAATGGCTGCAGGCATGAAGCCAAGGAGACACAGCCAGTGAACCAGCAAAATGCAGCAGAGTTCAGCAGGGGACCCACATTTCCATCAGCCCCAGCCTAAACCACAGTCAGCCCCCATGGTGGACGAGACAGATGATGAAATGCGTGGGACCAAGTCCTCTTTTCCTGTCTAAACCTGCTGAGAGTGGGACCACTGTTAGGCCATTAGGCCCTCTGTGATTTGAAAGGCAACTTAGAAGCCACTGTCTCAAAAACAAGGTTTAGAATGTCTACCCAGGCTGTGCCTGTGATTTCGGAGAAGGGCATCGTGCTGAGATCCTGTCTTGGGGGACAAGAACACCCAGGGGACAGCCAGGCCAGGGGTGACAGAAGCCTTGCACCAGGGGTCTCCTCCGAAGCATCCCCGTATTGTCCTTCTGTCTTTTCCAAATATTGATCTTAGATATGACTGTCTTTGGCTCCAAGGAAGGACTCGGGCTGGGCTAAGAGCAAGCCTAGTATAAAGACAGCTGTGTGTGTGTGTGTTCTGGTCGATGTCCCCTGTGTATCGTCTTAACCCAGATCGCCTCCCGCCTCTCTCCTGGGAGCATGGGTAGAGCCGGGGGCTTGGAGGGTTTGAGGCCCAGGGGCAGGTGCGAAGAGCAGACGGGCCTTCTGAGGTGGTGACAGGGGTGGGGAAGGCCAGCAGATGGGCAGCAACCCCACACACATGCTGTCTCTCCTTGAGTGCACATGGACACTCATCTAGGCTGTGCACTGAACCAGGTGTCGGCAGGTGGGGACAGGGAGGCAGAAGCCAGGGAGTGAGAGCCACACACTCACGTCCGCGCGCTCTCAGCCTGGCACAGACGCGTGTGGCCCTGCGACACTCACCACTGCGCTGGCTGCATGCTGACGCTTGTGGGGCTGAGAGCAGGTTTCTGAGACCCGCAGCGCCACAGGCAGGGCTTGCTGGGGGTCTGGGAGGCACCTGCGGCCCAGGTAGGGGGAGGCCTTCCAGGCGTGGGAGGGCTCAGAGGCTGAACGCTCTTGGCAGGAATGTCTGATCCACTCCCCCCCCCCCCACCCTGTCCTCATCTGGTCTGTCCCCTCTGGAGGGGAAGCTGGTTCCATCTGGTTGCCAGCCGCTGGGGTCGGGCAGCTCCCTGGAGGGGGCACACGATTGCGGGTGCTGATCCCCGCCCTTCCCTCTGCCCGACAGCCTCACCTGCGACAGTGAGCAGTGGGAAATCCTAGATAAACCGTTCGGCTCCAATTCCCTTGGGACGATTTGTCAAACTATGTCTTTAGCGTACCAGACCTCTCTGAACCGCATGACCCTATCCTACTCCAGCCGTTCCAGCCCCCAGCCCACTCTCTTCGACGTCCATCTCTTTGGTGAATCCCCAGGTAGGTGGGGGAGGCGTTCCTTCCGAATCCCTTGTCTTTCATCCGACTTCTGCCGGGGTGACCGCGCGTGGATGGGTGGGGGTGGTGACCTGCAGCTCAGACATTTTGGAGAAGAAAAGCGCGCCCTAGTCCGCCCTTTTCAGTCGCTGCTTGAGTCCGGCTCCGGGGTAGGCTCTGTCCCTGCGGCCCCCAGAAAGCAGGGAGCTCGGTGTGCCGTTCCCCACCCCAGGGGCCCTGGACAATGCCTGAGTCCTGGCTTCCTTTCCATCTGCCATTGGTCTGCAATCCGAGCGGGTCCAGCCAGACTCAAGGCCAAGGGGGATGACCGGAGTCCCAGGCTCAGTCCGGGGACCTGGCTGCCAGGTGCCTGTAGGTGAACTTAGTTTCCTTACTTTTCAGCTGTGACCTGAACTAGGCCACAGTGGTAACTCCAGGGAGCCATGGTAGCTCAGCGTTTGTGACCCTGTCCTTGAGACGCTCTCTGTCTACTTCCATCCTGAGAAGAGCTCCCGGTGGGTGGAGTTCTTTGCATCCCTTTCCCGATGAGGAACCTGAGGCTGTATCCCAAGGTCCCCAGATTCTGGAGCCGGGTCACCTGTCATTTCACAGGCTGAGTCAGCCAAGGGAGGCCAGGGCACCGCATTCAGCCCACTTGGCACCAGCTTCCCACTCAGGTCTCTTTGGCTGGGGAATTTCCAGCAACTAAGATGGCTGGTGGCTCCTCACAAGAAAACTGTACTCTGTTGGCTTTACCAGAATGTAACACTGATCAGTGAAGTCATTAAAAAAAACGCACGAGAAACGCTTGGGTCGCAGTCAGCGTGTCTGGCTTTCCTGGTTCATCCTGAACTGTGGAGTTTCCCGGGGTTCAGATTGCCCAAGTTCCAGCTGACCCAAGACCGGGGGTCGTGCTGGTCAGAGCCGCCTGTCCTGAGGGTGGCTGCGCAGAGGGGAGTGGAGGAAATGCTGACCGAGTGGGTGCTGGGTGCTGCACCCTCCTTCCGCCCTTCCTCCGTGTGTCCCAGGGCTGCTCCCGGGTATGGGGACAGGGACACCACCCCTCCCTGTGTGCAGGCTCCCATGCACAGTGTGCTCTGGGCCGCCGTCCTGCCTTCAGCTTCTCATTTGCTTTCTCTTTGTGTCTTTGCAGAGACAATTGAGTCAATAAGGAAAAAAGGTAAATCTGGAGTTATTATGTCACCACACTCCTTTCCTCGTATTGAGAACGTGCCTTACTTTAAAAAAAAAAGAAAGATTTATTTATTTTACGTGAAAGTCAGAGTAACACACACAGAGAAGGAGAGGCAGAGAGAGAGAGAGAGAGAGAGAGGTCTTCCATCCACTGGTTCACTCCCAAGTTGGCTGCAATGGCTGGAGCTGCGCCAATCCGAAGCCAGGAGCTTCTTCCTGGTCTCCCACGCAGGTGCAGGGGCCCAAGGACATGGGCCATCTTCTACTGCTTTCCCAGGCCATAGCAGAGAGCTGGATGGGAAGTGGAGCAGCCAGGACTTGAACTGGCGCCCATATGAGATGCTGGTGCTGCAGGCAGTGGCTTTAAGACCCACTATGTCACAGCACCAGCCTTAGCCTTATTTCTTTTTTTAAAAAAAAAATTTAAGATTTTATTTATTTATTTGAAAGGTATAGCTACAGACAGAGAGAAAGGTCTTCCATCCACTGGTTCACTCCCCAAATGGCTACAATGGCCAGGGCTGAGCCCAGCTGAAGCCAGGAACCAGGAGCTTCCTCAAGGTCTCCCACGTGGGTGTAGGTGCCCAAGCACTTGGCTCATCTTCCACTACTTTGCCAAGCCATAAGCAGAGAGCTGGGCCAGCAGAGGAGCAGGGCCAGTGCTGTGGTGTAGCGGGTAGTGGGAGACCCGAAGAAGCTCCTGGCTCCTGCCTTTGGATTGGCACAGCTCCAACCGTTGCAGCCAATGGAGGAGTGAACCAGTGGTTAGAAGACCTCTCTTTCTCTCTCTCTCTCTCTCTCTCTCTCTCTCTCTCTCTCTGCCACTCCTTCTCTCTGTGTGTAACTCAAATAAATAAATAAATCTTAAAAAATAAATGAAGAAGAGGAGCAGCCGGGACCTGAACCAGCGCCCACAGGGGATACCAGCACTACAGGCAGAGGCCTAGCATACTACGCCACAGCACCGACCTGAGAATATGCTTTAGAATTGGAGCCCAAATGACTCACCTGAGGCTCGTGTTCCCGGGACACGTTCTTGTCCAGAAATGCGTTGTGTCTGCACTTGATCATCGGCCTCAGCTTTCACCGTCCCCAGATCCCCCCTCCCCAGCCTCTTATTCCCCTCCCTGACCCTCATCTGCACCCCCACTGTGACTCCTGCCAGCCTCCCCAGGCAGGGGCAGGAGCCGCCTCCCCCCTCAGCCTGTGTCCCAGATGCCGCCTCTGGACGCCGGAGCCTGCAGGGCTGAGGGGCTGCTCCGTCCTCAATGTCAGGAAGGAGAGTGTTGCAAGAAGATGGAGTATGAGCAGTGGGAGGAGGCGGTTGGAGGCGGGAGAGGCTCCCCTGGGACGCAGGCGCCTGGTGATTGGTTTGTTCCTAGTGACGCGGAGGTGCTAGGTATGGGGCAAGCGGTTTTAGCGACACTTGGCTCAAGGAAGGTGCCATTTCCATGGTACTTTCCTGTTTGGAGCCTGAGGCTTCGGCAGGCAGGGTGCTGGAACCCCACAGGTCATCTGCGCTGTGCCGGGGTTGGGCCCTCGGGGCAGGGAGCCGCCTGTTTGCTACTTCCCAGGTGTCCCCGGAAGCCACCTTCAGGGAGACAGAGCTGTACCTGTGCCAGTGCTCTGCTCCACACTCCGGCCACGGGATTGATGATAAAGTAGGTTTCGGTGGGGGGGAGACTTCAATTTTCTCTTTTCTACAAATTGAAGACAAAGTGTCTGACACAGTGGGCATGAGTTCCTTCCAATAGGTGGGAAGCGTAAAGCAACACAGCCCTGCTCTCGTGGCATCATCAAACTCTGGGCATCCTTGCCATGCTTTCTGCTGGCTCTGAGAAGTGGGGGCCTCGGAGTGGCATGGCCCCCTCCGAGGCCTGGGCCCACCTGGGACCCCTCCGTGTGCCTGCAGGGCATGATGACTGTGGGGACCACCTCGCACATTCCTCAGACGGACTGGTCGGCACCTACGGGCCCCGAATTGTCTGTGTCTGGAGCGTCCACATGCAGCTGACAACGCAGGCCCTGGTGGCACAGCCCATCGGCAAGTGAGTATGCCGGATTTGGGGTGCGTTCACCGGTTTTGTGGTCCATGCCGACATCTCACAGTTTGTGCTCCATGCAACCCTTCACACAGCAGAAACACAATCTGGCTCTTTCTAATTCAGTTCATGTGCACATAATATCTAGTTAATTTTTTAAAAAAATATTTATTTATTTGAGAGGCAGAGGGCAACGGGCAGGGGGCGAGAGAACCTGTTCGTTGGTTCACTCTCCAAATGCCTGCACCAGGCAGGGCTGAAACCGGGAGCCAGGAATGGAATCCGGGTCTCCCGCAAGGTTGGCAGGAACACAGCTGTCACTGGAGCGCGTTTCGTGGGTTCGTTTCCTCAGCTTAGTACAGAAATAAGAAGCCGGGAATGATTTGCAGAAAGAAGCATTCACTTTATTTTGGTTTGCAAAGTGACAGTAGAGCGTCTGGCCCGAGAGGAGAGCAGACGGAGGGCCGCGAATGGGATGCTGGCTTTCAGGAGGTGCCCGGGGTTTTAATGCATCATCATCTTTTCACTGGGTCATCCTGTGGGGGTGCCCATTGGACGAGGTTTCTGCATACTGTAGACTGATTGGCTTGGGGCTCATGGAGACAGTGGGGGGCTCTTGGAGACAGCCTGATTCCCCTTATGGGCTCAGCCCCCTTCCAGCTCTGGGTGGAAGATGCTGACTTAACTGAAGCTGTGATTCAAACCCACATACTGGACAGGAGGCTCTACTGGGGGAGATGCCAGCAGGTCTGGGAACCAGCCGCAGCTCACAGCCTGCTTGTGCCACATGTTCTGCCTACGTCTGCGGGGCCCACAGACCCTCAGCCCACCTCAGCCCACCTGGCGGCTGCAACAGTCACTTTGGGCATTAGCACTGCTCCCCAGGTCTGCATTAACAGGAAGCTGCCTGAAGTCAGGAGCCAGAGCCAGGAATTAAGCCAGGTACTCCAGCGTGGGTCATGGCATCTTAACCGCTGGACAGAACACGGATTCCACAACGAGTCATCTTTTTTGAAAAAGATTTACTTATTTATTTGAAAGTCAGTGTTATGCAGAGAGAGGAGAGGCAGAGAGAGAGAGAGAGAGAGAGAGAGAGTCTTCCATTTGCTGGTCCACTCCCCTCCATTTATTGAAGAGACTAATCTTTTCCTAACAAATGGCCTTGGTGTCCAGTAAAAAAAAAAATCCCATTGACCACAGGAATTAGAAATTTGTGTTCATTGCTGAATTCTTCATTCCATTCCACGGGTTCAGATGTAGTAACATATCCCTTTATTCTAGTTCTATGCAATTCTGGTTACTGTAGTTCATAGTAAGTTTTGATATTACAAATGTCCAACTTTGTTTTTAGTTTTGAAAGTCAGTTAGATATTTGGGTCCCTATGCTGTCTCCTGTGAGTTTGGGGAATAGCTTTTTGGTTTCTGCAAAAAATAAATGAATAAAGCCATCATGATTTTGACAGAGTGCCTTGAATCTGGAGACCTCCTTGGCTCCCAGAAATAATCTTATTTTCTTAATTTCCTTCTGAATTTTTCATTGGTCAAGTACAAAAACCAACTGATTGTAGTGTGTTGATCTAGTACCATGCAACTTTATTGAATTTTTTCATTAGTTCTAGTTGTTTTTTTTTTTTTTTTTGTGGATTCTTTTTTATTTTCTTTAAATAGAATCATGGCTTTTACAAAGAGGGATAGGTTTATTTCTCCTTTTTGAGTTGATGTCTTTTTTCCTCTCTTGGCTATGGCAAGGATTTCCCCCCTCATGTTGAAGAGCAATGGCGAATGCAGACATCCTTATCTTATTTCTGAGAGATTTATTCCAGAGAGGTTGAGTGAGATCGGTGGTCTTAGTTTTAGACACCACTGAGTGTGAGGCTGCCTGTGGCTTTTCATGCAAGCTCCTCGCTGTGTTCAGGAAGTTCATTCTGTCCTTAGTTTGCTGGTGTTCATCCTTGAAAGGTTTAGAATCTTGTCCTGCATCTATTTTGGTGATTTTTAAAGGTTTTTTTCTATGAATGTAATCCATAACACTGATTGACTTTCGTATCCTGACCTCCCCTCGTGCTCCTGGGATAAATTTCACTGGCTTGTGTGTGTAGTCTTTCTTATACGTTGCTGCATAAGGCTCGCTGTCGTGTTGTTTGCTATTTTTGCTTCTACATTCAAAAGGGAACTCAGTCTTTAGTGTTATTTATTTATTTATTTATATTTTTGACAGGTAGAGTGGACAGTGAGAGAGAGAGAGACAGAGAGAAAGGTCTTCCTTTGCCGTTGGTTCACCTTCCAATGGCCGCCGTGGCCGGCGCACCGTGCTGATCCGAAGCCAGGAGCCAGGTGCTTCTCCTGGTCTCCCATGGGGTGCAGGGCCCAAGCACTTGGGCCATCCTCCACTGCACTCCCTGGCCACAGCAGAGAGCTGGCCTGGAAGAGGGGCAACCGGGACAGAATCCGGCGCCCTGACCGGGACTAGAACTCGGTGTGCTGGCACTGCAGGCGGAGAATTAGCCTAGTGAGCCGCGGCGCCGGCCCAGTCTTTAGTGTTTTCATGATGTCAACATAACGGCAGCCTCACAGCTTGAGTTATGAAGCGTTCTGGCCTCTCCTGTCTTTTGGAAGAGTTTGAGTGGTGGAGGAGACCAGGGCTGGGCGGAGAAGGAGCAGACAGACGGGCATCTCCTGAGTCACCTCTAACCCAGAGTCAGCCCTGGCCGGACCCTTAGTGCTTTTCAGACGGCTTTGGGGTCTGACTGTCCCCAGCACCGAGGGAGCCGGTGAGGGAGGCCGGGATTGAAGCAAACGTACGTGAGTGCCTGTGTCACGTGTCCCAGCAGCCTTGTTAGACCCCACGGAGGCCCCAGCTCCTCTGCTGTGTGCGTGAGATGAGCTGGGGCCCGAGGGAGGGTGGGGTGAGGGCTCAGTGCAGGGGCCTTGGCGGTGAGAGCGTGGCTCGTGTGCCTTGTCTCTTACTGGGTGGAGAGGCCCGCCCTCCCTCCCTGTGCCCACAGACAGATGGGCAGGCCTAGGCTGCTGGGCCTTACAGGTCCCATTCACACCCTATCCGCGGGACAGGGGGAGTCAGAGCCACAGAGCGACACGGTCAGCAGCTTCCCGTCCTCACACAGCGGCCCTGGCCTGGGAAGCCCACCCCTGCTGCTTCCTGCCCCGCTTCCAGAGGCCTGCAACACAGCCTGGTCCCTAAATTCCTGTGTGGGAGCCCAGAGCCACAGGCACGGCACCGGGGTGGGGGGTGGAAGCCACCTGCAGCCGGGGGAGGGAGGGCGCCCGACGTGCTGGGAGGTGCCCGCCTGACTGTCTCTGTTCAGAACTGAAGACGTTGCTTCCCTCGTCCACACCGGCCTGGCACTTCGCATCGGGCTCCAGGATGAGTCCAGAGGCTGATGCCGGACCTTTCTTCTGCCCGACAGCATGTCTTGTGTGAGCCGAGAGGCAGCTGTGCTGGACGGACCTCTCGGGCTGTATTCACTCGGCAAAGTCTGCCAGGACATCTCCTTCATCTACCAACCAGCCTACAATCACCTGCTGGTCTCCTACTCCGGAAATCCCGCCTCTCCCGTCACTCTCATGGACGCCTATTTCTATCGCTCTTCGAAAGGTAGGGGTGTGGGGGGGTGGGGGATCTGCTAACGCTTCCCTCCCCCACCCGACTCTGGGTCGTGGCATGGTTGTGTGCCTGTGGAACCAAGGTTGAGTGGAGGTTCTTGTGGTCCACTGTGGGCTGAGAGACGTGCCGCAGAGACATCTCAGGTCTGGAATTTATGGACAGGTCCCATGCCCACCTTTCAACAGGCTTGCACGCATGGCTGTGTACCTCACAGATGCCAGCCTTGGGCGCCAGAAAGGACATAGCACGCGTAAATAGAGATGGCTGACTTCTGCTCATTGGGAATTTGTATTCAATCAGCTTCCTCCGACATTAGATCGATCACGGTCTCATTACAGGATTTTCAGGGCGCAAGGTTCAGGGAGAATTGTCGAGAATGACTCTCTTCTTTTGTCCAGAAGTGGAGGACTGCTCAGTGACGGGGCTCTTAGTGTCAGAGCCAGGGCGTGGGCCCCTCACTCGGCGCGGACAGTGGCTGCAGCCTGGCCCCTCAGTCGGCGCTCACGGCTCCCCCAGCGCCTGCAGCCAGGCACCCCCCCCACTCTGAGAGGCGGCAGACACAAGGGGAGAGAGGCTGGCCTTTGGGTGCTGAGAGCCACAGCTGCCTCGTGTGAGCTGGCACTGCTGCCTGGGACGGGACAGCGACGCCTCCGCCTCTCTCTGCTCGGCTTGGTCCGTTCATGTCCAGGCTCCTCCTTGTCCCTTCCCCATCCCCCATCCACCGGGAACTTCAGCTTCGCTTTGTGTTCCTCTCTAGGCAAGACTTCAGCAGTAATTCACGTCCCGGCAAAGAAGAAAGGTATGGGTGGCGAATATTCGCTGTGCGCCTCTGGGCGTTGGTCTCGCAGGCTCCCTGGGAACTGCATGCACCAGAAAGTGTCCTGGCCCAGACGGTGTCAGCTGTGCCTTGCCCTCAGCTCCAGTCTCATAGCCCCAGCCCTCCTCCCGTGCAGCTGAGCAAGGCCTTCCTTCCTTCTAGGGGCATTCAGCGAACACCACTGCTGACCGCCCCCACCCCACCCCGGCACAGCCCCGGGGGGTCCCGCACCCTCCTGTCCTCCCAGGAGGACGCATCTCCATAGAGCCTGAGTCCCAGGGCCCCCAACGGCTCCTGGGAAGGCCTGGAGTCTGCAGAGCCGAGAGGCTGCCCCGTGTGGGATCCGGAGCAGGGGGAGGAGGTGGTCACAGCAGGGCGGGGCTCCCTCGGGTTGTGGCTGATGTTAAATGTTGGACCCTGGACACCCCGCAGTGCTGGCTGCCCCTGAGCCCTGGGCGGTCCCAGAAACCACCGTGCGCTCTGGGGGACGCCTTGCTGCCTGCCACCCTTCCCCACATGACCCCTCATTTTCTAGAGCAACCCAGCCACAGCCCCCCAAATTCCCCTTCTTCTCTTCAAAGAACTGCTTTCCCACTTCCGAGTGAGAATAGACTCCTCGCTAAACCCATCAGGCAAACAACAATTCAGCTGCTTTCCTGCCCTTCTTTTCAACCAGCAGAAAAAGGAGCCGCCACGCAGAACCGCCCTCTGTAGAACCTTCTGGAAGTCGCTGGCTGCTTGGAAACGCTCCCTGGACTAACTGATGGAGCCTCCTGCTCACCCCTACATCCCCGAGTCCTGCCAGCCCCTGCCTCCTCCCTGGGGAACAAAACCTCCCCCCTCCCTGCCCCGACACCTGCCGTCTCTGGGCTGCAGAGCTATGCATTGCCACGGTCCTTCCCAATAAAGCGTCTCTTCAGCTCAATCCGGATTCTTATTTTTTTTTTAATCTTTTATCTCCTCGGATCCTGGAGTCGAAGCTTCAGGCATTGCTGAGAGCAGACGTGAAGTCCCCTGTGACCCGTGTTAAAATAAGGTGGATTTTCCCCTGTGTGAGACCAGCTGGGGGCAGGAGCGCTGCCCATCTGCTGTCTCTCCCCGACCCTGGGAAAAGCCCACGTGCACGCACCAACGCCCCGGCGCTGGCTGTAAGCACTCCGCCCTGGCAACGAGGCTGTTGGTAAAGTGGGTGAGGGGGTGCTGCAGAATTGCCCCTGATTCCCAGTGGTAAAAAAAATGTAAGTGGTGCGCCCGTGGGTCCCTTACGAAGCTCTGCAGGGAGCAACACACAAAGCCGCACCGTGGGATGAGCACACGGGGGTCAGCCATGCTTTGCGATGCTGCATGGGGGCAGGTGTGAGCAAGCATCGCGTGGACACAGCCGGCTGGGGCCTGTCTGAGGCCTTAGCCGTGAGGCGTGGGGAAGAGGGCTCTCTCACTGTGCCCCTCACGCTCATGACCCTGTGCTCCACTCCGTAAGACCGACAGTTCTGCGTTGGCTGACGCGTGATGCCGACGTGCCCACCGTGTGCACGTTGAATGCCCTGTCCCCGGGGTGTGTGTGCGTGTGTGTGTGTGTGTGCGAGAAGCCGATGCTTCCTGCACGTCTGTGGTGGATCTGACCTGCTTCACTCCTCGCTGGCCGGCCACGGCCTCCTCCGGCTGTTCTGTGGTTCACACTGGAGGCTTTGACGGTGCCTGGAGCTCCTGTCGAGTGGAGCACGTCTGTGGGGTTCCTGGGAAAACACCCTTTTCCTCAGGATGGAAGTTCCCTGTTTTAATGAACACAATGGCTATTATTATTCTGTTGGTGACCCAACACACACATGGGTCACCAAGTCTGACTCCAGCGTCTCACGTTATTCCATGGAATAATGACGTGGGCAAGAAGCAGAGCCAATACTGATCTCTACGTATTTCCATATAAAGTCAGTGTATCTTTTTCTGTTCCTACAAGCCACCCCTTGTAGGTCGACTGAATGCAGAGAAAAATTATTGGCTATTATTAGGTTAAAGTCATTTTGGTTGCAAGTAACAGAAACACATTTCAGGTCCTTGGAGCGAAACTGAAGGGATTTAGGAGAGCAGCCGGGGTGGTTCGTGAGCTGAGGGCAGTGGAGCCTGCAGCACAGCTGGGAGGTTGGTGCTCTCTCTCATCCTCTCATCTGACCCCTTCAGACTGGCGGCTTGTAGATCTTGACTGCCCTGTGGCTCCTGCGTTAGCTGTTCAAAGGGACTACGAAGACTCACTCGAGCCTCTGGTTTCTGTCTTGAAATGTACAGGGAAGAATCTAGGTTGTGAGGGAGAGGGAGAGGCAGAGGGAGATCTTCTATCCGCTAGTTCACTCTCCAGATGGCTGCAATGGCCTAGGCTGGGCCAGGCCGAAGCCAGGTGCCAGGAGTTTCTACTGGGTCTCCTGCATGGGTGCAGAGGTCAAGCCCTTGGGCCATCTTCTGCTTCCCCAGGCGCATTAGCAGGGAGCTGGATCCGAAGCGGGGCATCCGGGATGCAAACCTGTGCCCAGATGAGATGGCGGCAATGCAGATGCCGGCAATGCACCCCCTGTGCACAGCGTCGGCTCCTGAACTTGAGTTTTAACCTTCTCACTACTGAATCCTTTGGGAAGCTGGACGAGGTGGGTGGTAACAGAGAAGGAACAAGGGAAGTGGCGAGAAGCTGAACACGATTGATCGTTGGAGGCTTCGCCCATCAGATATCCTGCCCTCTTGGGACACTGTGCTGACCAACCCCTGCAACCACGGTGCCGCTTTCTCCCCACTAGGGCGGGGCGCTCACCCAGGACCATTTGTTCCAACTTGCTGATGGAGCCAGATTAAGCCATGACATTTAATCCGAGGAAGAAGCCATCTGAAGAAAGAGCTTTCCTGCAAGCACAGAAGGTCTCTGGCAGCAGCAAGCTGGGTGTGTTCAAGGGTCTGCGAGAAGTCCAGTGGGCATGAGCGAGTGAGTGAGTGAGGACCAGGGGTAGGGGCGAGCAGAGAAAGGGTCGGAGCTGAACCAGGTGAGACTTGGTAGGCCAAGATTAGGAGTTTGGACTGTTTAGTGCAACAGGAAGCATGGAAGGTTTTTCTAGGTGCCCTAGGCTACTGTCACAAAGCACCACAAACTGGAAGGTTTAGCACAACAGAAACTCAGGGCAGGTGTTACTGCGCAGGGGGCTAAGGGGCTGCTTGGGGCACCCACATCCTACATTGGAGCTGTTTTGAGTCCCAGCTGCTCCACTTCCAGTCCAGCTCTCTGCTGTGGCCTGGGAAAGCAGTGGAGGATGGCCCAAGTCCTTGGGCCCCTGCACCCATGTGGGAGACCAGGGGGAAGCTCCTGGCTCCTGGCTTCGGATCGGCGCAGCTCCAGCAGTTGCGGCCATTTTGGGAGTGAACCAGTTGCTGGAAGACCTTTCTCTCTCTCTCTCTCTCTCTCTCTCTGTAACTCTTTCAAATAAATAAAATAAATTAAAAAAAAAAGACTCAAAAATAGTATTCTTCCTTCCAAATTTCTTTTTTCTAAGATCTATTTATGTATGTGAAAGGCAGGTTTACAGAGAAAGAGAGAGAGATAGAGAGATCTTCCATCCACTGGTTCACTTCCCAAATGGCCTCAATGACCAGAGTAGGCCAGGCCAAAGTCAGGAGCTAGGAGCTTCTTCTGGGTCTCCCACGTAGCTGCAGGGACTCAAGTCCTTGGGCCGTCCTCTGCTGCTTTCCCAGGCGCATTAGCAGGAAGCTGGATCAGAAGCTGAACAGCTGGGACTCGAACCAGCGTCCATAAGGAATGCCGGCACTGCCGGCTGTGGCTCTAACGTGCAGTGCCATAGCACCAGCCCCTCCAAATCTCTAACGTTGCGTCAGTTGAAAAGTTGGCCGTGTCCTTGGTGTGTGCTGATCCTGCACTCAGAATCCACTTATGGTTTTGGAACACTGCGGTTCCCAGGATCACGCATGACCACAGCAGCTACTAATGGGGTAACTCCTAAGTGCCCTCACCTAACTCTGGCAGGTGCTCGGTGCAGTTACCCCAGAACATGGGAGAGGGGAGCCTCGTGCTGACGATTCTCCTTCTGCTTGGAGAGGAGCTGTGGTGCGGAAAGAACTGACTGTGAAAAATCCATCCAGAAAGGAAGCTGGCCTTGTCCCAGCAGCTGTAGGTCCCCCTGGGCAAGTTCAGTGCCTTCCCAGCTGTGCAAGGTGCTGCGAGGACAGAGTGTGGTTGACCAAGGGCTGCTGTGGACTTCAGATGCAGACAGTGAATGCAGGTGGTGTGCCTCTGGTCCTGAATGTGGACTCAGGGTCACGTTTTTCTCTCAATGGAGAAACAAACCCCTTGTTCGTTCCAGACACCCCCAAGTGCTGCCCTGCCCATCCTTCGTCCATACCAGAAACTCAGATTTGGTCCGAGGACCCACTTCCCCATCCAGCTGAGGCTCTCTTGTCCCCACAACCCACGGTCCACAATTTAATGGACACCTTATTCTTCCACTGAGTAGTCCGGGATCAAGAAAATGTCGTTGCCTTTGGGGATGAGCCACCATCTGGAAGAGCTGCCTTGGGCCATGGCCAGTAGCCAGCTGGCTCCTGTCTTGATTACCGAGGCAGATGGAGGAAAGGGGCGTGGACCGACATAGCCAGCTTCCATGTTGTGCTTCGGATCCGCCGCAGTCAGTGCTAGCCCTGAAATTCTGACACCACGGCCGTGAGGGTGGCTCTGAGCAGGTGTGAGCGCATCTGTGGGCATCCAAGCGCTGTCCGAAGTGCAGGCTTCCAAGGCTGTGTGTGTGCATGCATGTGTGTGCGTGAGTGCGTGTGTGTGTGCCCGCGTGTGTGTTGAGTGTGCTTGTGTGAGAGCGTGTGCGTGCGAGTGTGTATGTATGTGTGTGTGTGCCCGTGCGTGTGTTGAGTGTGCTTGTGTGTGTGAGTGTGCTTGTGTGAGAGCGTGTGTGCGTGTGTGCACACGTGTGTGTCTGTGCATGTGTGTGTTGAGTATGTGTGCGTGTGAGTGTGTGCGTGTGCGAGTGTGTATGTACGTGTGTGAGTGTGCACGTGCGTGTGTGAGTGTGGTGCATTTAGAGGGGGCAGTGCACAGGGAAGAGGCCAGCCAACTTCTGGCTTCAACTTCTTTCCTCCCATAATTCATAGCACTTCTGCAAGGACCAGCTCTTTCCTTGTCGATGGTCAAGCATAAGCGAGAAACAACGGCACAATTTCTGGTGCTGTCCTGCTGGCCTGGCTGCTGTCTCCTGGGCCTCCCACCTGGGAGACTTCTAACACCTTCTCCTGACATCCCCAGAGGAATTGTGTGTGCAGGGATCTCCTGACTGTATTGAAGAGAGAAGGCTGGAAAGAGCTGGCTGTGCACCCTCAGGCAGAAGCTCTGTGCCATGCAGGAAGTAGGAGCGTGGAGCAGACCTTTGACTTACAGGGTTAGGCAGCGCACTCCTTCTGTCTGGACTACAGGTGGTCCCAGCTCCAAGGGCTCCATGGTAGACTGACTGCAACAGCAATTCAAACTGGACTTCCCTGTGTCTCTGCCTCTTGCTGTGTGGCCTCCCGTCCAGAGATGAAGTCCCCTGACTCACCCTTGCATTGGGGCTGGCCCTCATCTTGCTTTGTCCCATCAGAATGAGCAAGGGTGTTCCCGTGCTGAGCTCTGGTCTCAAGAGGGCCTCGCAAAGTTCCACTCCCAGATCTCGCAATGGCCCTGTGGACAAACCCGGAGGAAGCAAGCATGGGGCAGAGCGAGCTCCGCGGAGCGAGCAGTTGGCTATCAGCTCCCTGGAGGACAGCCCCTCGATGGGCCTGCAGTCGACAGCTAGCACAAGAAGAACCCGGCGAGACCAGGCGAACCACCCGGCTGAGCCTAGAATTCCCAGCTGGATTCACGGCAGTTGTTGGACACTACTGTATTCTAGGGAGGTTCATTTCCCAAAAATAGGTAAGTGGTTCAGGCCCCAGCGGGAGTGGGTGAGAAGTGGTGAGGGTGCGAGCTGAGGGCCTCAGCAGGTACGCGTTACCTTGGAGCAGGGGAAGGCAAGGTCCCAAAAGAAGACAGAGTGACAAGCAGCCTGGGGCCAGGCTGGAAGGGCTAACAACACCCCTGCCCCTGGTTCCCTGGGGGTAAATAGAACTTTAATTATAAGGAGCAGCCCTGCCAGCGTGCCCATTCCACAAGCGCTCTTCCTCTAGGGAGCAGGTCCGGGTCACATCACAGGGGTTGATGCCCCGCGACACGAAATCCTGGTTCATGAGCATGAGGTCTCCGGGGAACTCCGCTAAGGGCACAAGGTTCCGATTCGTTTGGCCCGCGATGGTTCTTTCTGCTTTCATTCTGGGGAAGAATGATTTGCAAGCCTTTGGCTGGCACACAAAACATTTCTTGGGTTCTTCTGACTTGAAAACCACGTTCACCTGCATCTCCTGCTTCCTGGGGCTTCTGCGCCCCGCCTCTTCGCCTTCCGGCTTGGCCTTGCCGTAGCTGCCCTGCTCTCGTCGGGCTTTGTCCTTTGCTGTTGGGCTCAGGACCGCTCCGGAGAGGACGGAGGAGCCCCTGAGCCTTTCAACGTAGCTTAAAAGCTGCTTATTTCTCAGGGCTCGGGCCAGCTGCATCCTTTCAATGTGCTTGTAGATGGTGATCTTCTCGCGCTGGGGCATTGTGAACTCCTCGGGGGACACGACCACCCGTGCTGTCCATACTTTTTCTGGGGGGCCACGTGCCAGACAAGGAATGGGACAGCGTCGGTTGCATTCCATTGCCTGGGCGTAGTCTGGAGACAGCAGCTGTAGCTCCCTGAGCATTTTCTGTTCTTCCTCTTGCTTGTGAACCAGGAACTTTCTCGTTGCTGCGGTGTGAGTGCCGCCTAGACGCTGGCAACGGGAAGGGGATGGTTACAACCTCCGTGGCGCAGGGGTGGGCGGCACGCAAACAAAGTATTAGATAGTGGTAGGTCCTCCCCCCACGATGAGCATACCCTTGGGGTCAGCCAAGCCTGGGTTCAAATCCTGGCTCTTGTCTCACCCTCTATGTGTTCTAAAGAAGTTGATTGGTTTTTTGGGTCATAGTGAGACTTCAACAGGACAGCATAAATGCAAGACAGGAGCACAGTTTTTACCGCTAGTTATCACTTAGTTATAACCCTAACTAGGACTTTTCAGTAAGAGAGTAGTCGACTGTGGAAGCCACTAGAAGGCTGGGCCAACCTGAATCCACTGCAGGAGAGAATTAATTCTCTGTTGAGAGTCGGTTTTGACCTTTTGGCTCCCCCCTGGCTATATCTGGCTGGCTTCTGCGAGGCCGCTCTGGGTGCACCTGCAGGGCACTTACCAGGATCTCTTTCTCCAAGGAGGAGTATTTCCCGAAGGTAATACGTGGGTCCGCCTGGCAGAATTGGTTCCATAACCTGGGAGGCAGAGAGGCGGGCATTAGAACCCCAGGAAGGGGCTCTCTGGGCCCCGTCTCTGGGCGGGAGCACCCACAAAGGGGGTTTCTGCGTGAGCCAGGCCGAGGGTCTCTGTGGCCGCCTGTGAGCTCCTCTTCCAGGCCTTGCTCTGATAGGGGTGAATGAGAAGCACAGGGCACACTCACCCCAACGGGAAAGCCAGGGAGGGCTTGTCTTGGCCACACGGAGCATCTTTATCCCGAGAGAAGCAAGTGCTGGTGCTGTGCTGCCTGGCGGATCTGCCACCCTTCTTGACGGAGTTCCCTTCCGCAGGCTTCCTTTCTTGGGCCCCTGGGTCTGGAGCCCTCGCTTTCCCAGGCGGACTGCCACCCTCCCATTCTCTGATCATACCCTGGCAGTGAGCTCAGACGGAAGGTGTTAACACCCAGACAGCTGAGCACAAACCCAGGGGCAGGTCACAATCACGCGTGGCATCACAACTGGCCTACTTGGGAGCTATTGTGAGGTCTGAGTTTAAGGCATCAGGTGGTGTCCGGGGGAGAAGGACACACGCTACCTCAGTCCTAGCATGCTGGAGTCCAGAGGAAGAGCGGCCAGAGAGTATGGCCGGGAGGTCACTTCAGCACGTCACTGCTGCTTAGAAGGCCCCGGGGAATGCACAGTGTCTTAGAAAATGATCTATTTATTTATCCTAAGGCAGAGTTTACAGAGAGAGAGAGAGAGAGTTAGATCTTCCATCTCCTGGTTTGCTCCCCAAATGGCTACAACTGCTGGAGCTGGGCCGGTCTGAAGCCCGGAGCCAGGAGCTTCTTCTGGGTCTCTCACATTGGTGTCAGGGGCCCAAGGACTTGGGCCATCTTTGGGTGCTTTTCCAGGCTATTAGCAGGAAACTGGATTGGAAGTAGAGCAGCCAGGACTTGAGCCAGTGCCCACAGGGGTCGCCTGCATTGCAGATGGCGGCTTGATCTGCCACAAATCACCCCCTTCTCCCCACTGACTGCTCAGTTCTAATGGGATTGGAACCGCACTGAATACATCTTTCTTTCCTTTTTACATCCTGAAGGACAGAAGCTAGCTGCTGAGCCTGTTGGCTAACTAGAGAGTCTTCAATTCAACAGATAAATAACGCTCGCTTATGAACTCCAGAAACTGGCCTCGGGAAATCAGCTGGCGTTCAGAGTCACCTGGACTCGCGCCATGAGCACGCCCAGAGGACTGCAACAGGGCCTGGAGCATGGACTGCGTGCCCAGTGCGCTGCCTCCTGGTTAACGGAGCCCTGGACTCAGCACAGCAGTTTGCCTCTTGCAGACCCCGATGCTTTGCAGCTGCTCAGCTGTGCAGAACTCACCGTGATAAGGTCAAGCCCCAAGCACGTTTCTCAAGGAACTGTGTTGATTACTGAGACGGAGAAAATGCCCTGTTGTTAGACCCGCCGCTGGCGTCAGCACCTAGCAACCCACCCCCGACTGTGTGAGTCGCGACCTCAGCAGCCAGCCTCCCCGTCACACTCCTTAGAAGCCTCAGAAGGCCTCCTGTGTGGGCTGGCAGCGTCCGAGACCCCCGGTCTGCTGCTGTAGCCTCATCCACTGGCAGATTAAACGCTCTCTTCCCCTCACCCTCAAACCTTGGCCTCATTTTCTGATTCGGCACAGTGGACACGGCCTAGACTTCTAGCAGCAGGACGAAGACTTGGTCATCTAGTTTCTCTGTGCTATGTCTGCCTCTGCGATCTTAGCTCCTTTTAGTTGATCAAAGCTGTTCTACCTATGGTTCTTGGGCTGTTGTCCCCAGCTCCCCGCCTCCATGTCTCAGTCCCTCTGGGCCCCTTGTAGCTTGCTTGTCTCTCGGGGCCCAGCTCAATCATTGCCTGCTCTGAAGACCTCCTCGTAGAGTAATCACCCCTTTGTCCACGTCCTCATCACCCCGCATGTACCACGCTATGCAGCTCAGTCCCAAACAAGGATCGACTCGATCGTCCGGTAAGTCTGTCTCTCCATCTGCTGGAAACAGCATCTCATTCATCTTTACAGCACGGTTGTCTGGCTTGTGGCCTCGCGCAGGGTGGACGCTCAGCCTGCTGACTCGATATGCAGTCATCCCCAGTCATGAGAGGTGAGGTCGAGCGTTGCTGGGGGAGGTGGATCTGCCACAGCCCGCCTAGAAGGGGGCTGGTGATACGCATCTAAAATTACCAGGGCACGCCCCCTTGGGTCTAATTACATGTATGCACAAGGCAAAATGTGCACAGATTGGTCTTCACAGTTGTGCTTGGGATGACAAACTTGGCAGCGAATGTCTGTTTAGAGTGGTCTGGCCAGAGAACTATGGTCGGCCACACAGTGCATTACGTTGCAGGAGTATAGGACACAGCAGCAATGAGAATCAAGGAAGGAAGATCTTTGTTTCAGTGGAAAGAACGAAAAAACATCGCGGTAAACGCAAAACAGCGATAGGTGAAAGTGTGACTCATGCAGTGCCTTTTTGTGCTGGGGAGGAAAAGTACAAGCATGTGTGTTTGTATTTGCATGAAGTTAAGTCTCGGATAACGCACACAAAACTCATAAAAACAGCTACCGAGTTAGGTGCCCGGCAGACAAGGAAGTGGGAGGAATGCGCCATTTCCGCTGCACACGTTCTTGTGCTGCCTTGAATTCAGAATCTTGAGGGTATCGTGCACTCGTATCTGAAAAATTTAAAAGTATAGAAGACAAAGTATGGAAGGGGATTACCATGTCCACCAAGGACTGTTTTTTATTATTATTATTATTTGACAGGTAGAGTTATAGACAGAGAGAGAGACAGAGAGAAAGGTCTTCCTTCCGTTGGTTCACCCCCCCAAATGGCTGCCACGGCCAAAGCTGCGCCGATCCGAAGCCAGGAGCCGGGTGCCTCCTCCCGGTCTCCCATGCGGGTGCAGTGGACAAGGCCACCCTCCACTGCAAGGATGCTCTTAAAACTTTTGTTTGCCTTCCCTGGAATTCTCCAGCAGGGATTCACACTCGGTCCAGTGCTCCGGCTGTGTAGGTCTCCAAGACCCAGAGGCGCTCCCCAGCTCCACGTGGGGGATTTCAGTAACCGGGACCAGCAGAGAGCCTGGAAACCACCAGAGGGCCTCAATTGGGGCAGAAGATGCCTCCAACCAGCATTTGTTGACTTTGTCACTGCTAAGAGAGTGGCCTTGAGCAAGCTGCCGGCACCCGGCACCCGGCACCCGGCACTGGCATGCACTCCACAGATATTTGCAGGACTGTTCATGGGTCGATGGCTGACGCGTGATGGAATAGTGTATACCCATCAAAACCAGGTCTTTGGCCGGCGCCCAGCTCACTAGGCTAATCCTCCGCCTGCGGCACCAGTACCCCAGGTTCTAGTCCCAGTTGGGGCACCGGATTCTGTCCGGTTGCTCCTCTTCCAGGCCAGCTCTCTGCTGTGGCCCGGGAAGGCAGTGGAGGATGGCCTAAGTGCTTGGCCCCTGCACCCGCATGGGAGACCAGGAGGAAGCACCTGGCTCCGGGCTTCAGATCAGCACAGCGCCGGCCGCAGTGGCCATTTGGGGGGTGAACCAATGGAAGGAAGATCTTTCTCTCTGTCTCTCTCTCACTAACTCTACCTGCCCCCCCCTAAAAAAAAAAACCAGGTCTTTGACAAATTTTCCATGATGTGCTCATGACATAATGTGAGGCAAAAGCCAGTTATAATATAAATTACGTACAAAATGACCTAGATGCTATAAATATGCAAATAGACAAGAGGAGAAGAGACTGGAAGGAAACGCAGAGGCATCAGCGGTCACTTCAGCCTGCAGGTGCACGGGGCAGGTCCAGGGCTGGTGGGGAGCCAGCAGCCTGGCCACCTGCAGATTCTGAGATAAAGAAGCTACTGTCCCTTCACAGCAGGGACAGAGAGAACAGGGTGCCAAGGTCAGGGCTCAGCGTCCCGGAGCTCAGAGGGCAGAGGGCGAGAAAAGGCACACCTGGGAGGGATGTTGCCACAGCAACGGGCACTCTGCTGTGGGGAAATCCGTTTTCCTCCCCCCCCACTTCCACAAACTCCTGCTTCTAACGCATTTCCTTCTGTCATTCTCTTTCTTTTGTTTCCATTCCCAGCCTTTTTGCTTCTTTTCCTTCCCAGATATTTTCCCTCAATCAATTTGACGTTAGATTTTATTCCTGACTTTTACCTGGTTCTGTCCTTACCTTTTCTCCATAGTTGTCAGCCTCATCTCTTGGTTCATTTTCTTTTTTTTTTTTTTATTTGACAGGTAGAGTTATAGACAGTGAGAGAGAGAGAGAGACAGAGAGAAAGGTCTTCCTTCCGTTGGTTCACTCCCCAAATGGCCGCTATGGCAGCAGATACGCTGCACCAATCTGAAGCCAGGAGCCAGGAGCTTCTTCCTGGTCTCCCATGGGGTGCAGGGTCCAAGCACTTGGGCCATCCTCCACTGCACTCCCGGGGCACAGCAGAGAGCTGGCCTGGAAGAGGAGCAACCGGGACAGAATCCAGCGCCCACATGGGATGCGGGCGCTGCAGGCGGAGGATTAACCAAGTGAGCCATGGCGCCGGCCCCTCTTGGTTCATTTTCGAATTTTCCTCTTTCACTGTCTTTTATTTTAATCTTGAACTTTCATTTTTGTTTCTCAGCCTTTATTTTTATATGTATTTCACCTCTTCTTAATATTTAAAAAATGTTTATTTCCTATTCTTGCCTATTTGAAAGGCAGAGACCGGGATCCTCCGTCTGCTGGTTCCCTCCACAGCAGCTCGGGCTGGGCCGGGCTGAAGCCAGGAGCCAGGAACTCAATCCAGGTCTCCCATGCGGGTGGCAGGGACCCAAGCACTGAGCCGTCACAGCTGCCTCCCAGGGTGCGTCTTAGCAGGAAGCTGGAGTCGGATGCAGAGCCGGTCTCAGTCCAGGCGCTCTGAGATGAGAGGTGGGCGTCCCAAGTGGCCACTTACCTGCTGCCTCAGTCATCCGCTCCCCTTCACATTTTAAACACTTCTACCTGTTTATCCACCAGTGTCCTCCAGCGAAGAGAAAACAGTAGGAGGAGTGGTTTATCTGCGGGAACTGGTTCACAGGACTGTGAGGTTGTCAGGCCCCAGCGGGGGCGGGGGCAGCAGAGAGAAGTGCAGGGAAGACTCTGCTGTGGTTCAAGTCCACTGGCACAGCTTCCTCTTGCTCAGGGCCATTGCTCTTCAGCTGACCGCACAAGACCCATCCACACTGTTGGAGGACAAAAGTCTGTATTCCAAAAACACCCTCACGGAAGCTTCCAGAATAATATCAGACCACAAGCCTGGGCACTGTGGCCCAGCCAGGTTGACTCAAAAATGAACTCTCACCTGTATGCATATTTGTTAAGTTTTTAACGAATAACTTGAATGTGTTTAGAGTTTGGGATACCGGGCTTTAATTTTTCGCATAGT